ATTTCCATTCAAAAAAACCAACTTTGTGTTCACTTGAGTGGACACTACCTAAATATTCTTGCATACAACACATATAAAACCTTTTTTATACTGCACAGTAGCATACACACTGATATCTCTGCCATCTTCAGTGGACAGTTGAGTGAGATATTTCAATCACACGAAGTTAAATTTCGATAAATATCAACTGAAGTCCTCTACATGCATAAAGTTGGTGAAACAGCTATATTTAACTGAATTTAGTTCAAAACTCAGGCAGTACACACATCCTTCATGCATTGATACCCTTCCGGTAATCAATTGGTTTTATCAACCAAATAACTTATGGATTGTAAAATATGACTTGAGTTGTTTACTTTCATGTTAAGAAGTGTGGAAACATTTCATGTACTTTAAAAAGGAAAACGTTCCAGTTTAGCTGCAGCGTGAGACAATATTCAACAATCCATCCAGATAGATGATGTAAAAGGTTGTCCACCTCAGAATTTACAGACATCTTATATATTCTCACTAATGCTTTCGGTAAATAATTTCGTCTAAACGTATTTAAAGTGGCTTTAGGATTCATGTTTATGCACATAACTTATTGTGTAATTTACTTATTCAGTCAATATCAATATGAAATCCGCGATGCTACGTAGTGATTCAGGCTTACACTTCAAAACAACACATCATTATGAAAGGCAACATGAAAAAAGAAAAAAAACGGGATAAAGCTAACAACTATATGTGATATAACGGTAAGATGAAGATACCATGTGAATTCATATGCACTTCTGTGATCGACTCTGAGTCATATAACCTCATGTCTCCGAAAACACCAGTTCATGCTGTCTCGCTGACCACAGTCTGGGAGCCAACACATGTTTACATAACTCAGAGTAATAGTCAAACAACTGATGGAATAATGTTAAGTTTCAGTTTGGATGCCTTTAACACTTTCACAAAATCACCGCTCTTCAACTAGCATTGTGTGTCGTAGTAGATAGTGATTTATTTCAATGTTATTCTTTTTCCCTCCGGTTCCTCATGGAACATAGGGCTTCAGTAGCACGTAGTCATTTCAACGTGGCTGCACGACTGCCCATACTCTTTCATTTCTTCCTCGGTGGCGAAATCCAAATCACCTAGGATCTTTGCATCGGTCTAACCATCAGGAAGATCACTGGTGATAGTAGGCGGTGTCTTACTCCTGTCTTCATTCCAAAGGCATCACTGAGCTTTCCATTGTGAATCATTTGGCATGTAGCATCATACGGCATATAGCTATTGAATGAGGTTGATAAAGGTTTATGGCACTAAAACCGTAGTTTTGAAGCAGCTGCCTGCTAAACTACTTATCGGTTGACGCTGTCGAAGGCCTTTTCAAGATCGATGAAGTTCGGGTAGGGGGTTGACTGCCATTCTATGCTCTGTTCCATGATGATGCGCAGTGTTGCAATTTAATCTTCTTGAATCAAGCAAGCCAGCCAGCCTGTTCCGGTAGCAGTTTTGAATCCAGAGCACCTTTTAGTCTCTTCAGTATGATGCGGCATAATATTTTGCTTGAGATGGACAGAAGCATGATTCCGCGCCAGTTCTTGAAAAGATTTAGGTCTCCCTTCTTTTTAAAGTTTGACAAGATAGCCCTTCTTCCATTTGGCAGGTACCTTCCCTTCCTTCCAAACCCTCTGCAACAGTGGTATGAGCCTGTCCGCTGTTATCTCTGCGTCTGTTTTCAGTGCTTCTGATGGAATGTTTACCTGGTCTTTCTGCTTTCTCGGATTTCAGCATCTTTATGGAGCTCAGGATTTCGGCTTTTGCCGCAAGAATTGCTCACTAACAGTTCTGTGGCCAGGCTGCTGGTTGTATTTCCGGACAACTTACAGGTGGTGGCGGTGGTCGACTCAAGAGTTGTCTGAAGTGATCACCCCATCGTTTCATTTGTTTTTCATCTTTGATAATTAGGTCTCCTTCACTGTTTGTCATTGGTTTCGTCCGTGTAGATTTTTTCTCTCTTAGATAGTAACCTGGTTATTTGATGTAGTGTTCTCAGGTCTTTCCCAGCTGCCGCATGTTCTGCCTCCCTTGCCAGTGTGTCGTAGAAGTGTCTTTTGTCTTTTCGCGCACTCTTCTTCATTTCCTTGTCCAGTGTAGTGTTTTATAGGTTAGTTTGTATTCAGTTCCTCTTTTCATTGTTTATCTCTGCACTGCACTAGTTCATCTTCTGTTTCACCACCACCATCTTCCTCTCCCTCTTTCAGCTTCCATGTGTCTGTCGAGACCCATTCCTCGTCTTATTTCTTTTTCATTCCCAACACAGTTACGCAGGTTTCCTTCCACGTCGCTTTCAAGGAGTTTCAGTGCTCTTCCATGTAGGTTTCCTCAGGGATATTGTCGAATGTCTCCCATTTTGTCCTGATGACTGATTGATGTGAAGATGTCCTTTGTAGTTTCGTCCTTCAGTTCAATTTCTGTTCTGGGTATTGAACTTGAACTGCGGTCTATCATCAGCTTTTTTGAAGGCTTTCAACTTGATTTTGAAGGCAGGTTCCTTACAATAGATAGTGAGTAGTGTGAACCTACATCTCCCCCCTTCCTCATCTTGTGTCCAGAAGGCTGTTTCTCCATCTCCACTTGCTTCACATTGAGATGATGTCAATCTGATATTTAGTGTGTCCTGTTGTCTGGTGAAATCAATGTCGTTTTGTGAATATCTCTGTGTGTGTACACACTACATCCAATCACCAAATCACCGAATGCGCAGAAGTCTGCGAACAGTCCTCCATTCTCTTTTTTATCATTGCACCGACTGTTTCTCGAACCATGATGGATGAGTTTCCTTCCCGAGTTGTCCGCTCCTAGTTTGGCATTCATCTCACCTCACCCATTAGAATTTAGATGTCACCAACTGGACTGGAGTCTTGTCCAGTACTGATTGCAGTTGTCTGTAGAATTCCCGTTTCTTCTCCTGGTTCGCATTATTTTTAGGTGCGTAGCGTAGCGTTGTATGATTGTGACTTTCCTCCCTTTTGAGTTGAATATAGCTGTCATGATCCTAATCCTGCAGGATGAGACTGGTTCCCAATGCATGAGAGCCTTCGATGCTCTTGGGGACATCATGACAGTCACTCGAAAACTCAGTGTGCTCGTGGTTGTCTTTTGGATGACAATATCAGAGTAGATTATTGACTCTCGAGTTGGCAGTTGGAAGAGTCCACTTCCATTCCATCTGCAGATTCCTAGCACTCCTATGCCATATCTTCTCATCTCTTTTGTAGTCTGGGCAGCTTTGCCAACCAGCTTCAAACAGTGTGTGGACGTTGTATGTACCTATGCTTCCTTTTGACTTCATCAGGAGGGGAGAAGACACATCAGCCAATCGGTTTCCTGAAGGCTTTCAGCAAACGGTGTCATTTTGTGTCTCCGATTCCAGTGAGGAATAAGTTTGTTTTTATTATTATATTTTGTCTATGCTTTGAAGTTTCTGTAGCGGTTAGATTGGTTTTACGGGGTAAGGTTACTAGCTCTATGCCTAACCTTTCCTCTTTATCCGAACTTAGGATCGGCCAGTAAGTAGTGAACTAGTTAGCTAGGCAAGGTTGTAAATAGTGATCAAGCATGCGTTATGATTGTACTGGTCACTAGAAGTGATAGAAGTTAAAAATTTACTAACTTGCAACTTGCCGCCATAACAGAATTTCGTAAGGAAAATGAAAAGGTTAAATGCTGGTGCAAAAGAGGTTATAATAAATAAATTGTGGAAATATCATGGATATTACGTTGTTTTTTGTTGAGTTGTCCCTTAAACGCGTGGCAACACAACCTGTGCATACATAGATATCGTCTAACTAAGATAGCTATCTAGTTTTTATCTCCATAAATATATATTTATGAATACAAATTTTCCACAAGCCTGTTAGATAATTTCAGCCTATTCCGTGTACAAAAGTTCAGGGTTTCCTGCCAATCCCCCCAACCAACTGATATCCATTAAATTCCATTGAAATCCTGCGCCTCCTATTTTAGCTGTCACATTGGAAAATGATCGTCAGAATTCCGTTAGTTTTCACAATTAGACAAAACGAAATTGGTTGCTCTTCAGTGACTAATCAATCCATCTAATCCAGTCATAAATGAGGTTGATCGCGGGTCCAGTAGCTCGTTAGCAGCATCAATGACTGCAATACTAGGTAATGAGGGCTCGAATCCAGGAAGGGACTTCACATTCCTCTAGGCTGCAGTTACGCCATGCTGACTAGTGCCAAAAGGCACAAGGCCTATATGTAAGGCTTCCTCCCAACCCTCTTCAACTCATCAGAGTCTGAGTTCATTGGTTAGTAAGTATACTGACCACTGTAATATTAGGTGAGTGGACATAAAATGTGTTCAAATTGCATTAGTTTCTGTTTACTTTCTAACTTGACCGATATTGGATTAAGTGAATTTTTCGCAAGGAAGTATTTAATTACTATTATGAACTATCTGTGGCCGTTCAGTTTACCATAAAAATAAAACGAATATAGCTAACTGCATATGTATTCTAAGAAATGTTCAAAACAGTTTTAAATAGTTATCACTAGGATGATAACTTATTTAAAAAGGTACTCACAGTCTCATCAATAGATTTTATTATGCAGAAACATTTAGTGAAATCCTTTTTTGTCAAGAAGTGAATTTGTTATCAAGGAATTATAACTGAGAGCCTAACCTGTAGCTTTTTGCGATAAAGATATAATACAATTTTCAAGCATTGAACCAATGAATAATAGTCAAAATTAAGTACAAACAGCCAAATCTTACTAAAGCTTTTGATCTGCACTAAAGTTGCACTTCGGTTGCACTCAAATATACCAAAACATATAAACTTATATAGTCAATCACTTCGAAAAATAAAAATTTCCTTGATAATGCAGAATGCATGTTATTTAATTTGCAAGTGAGAAATAATACAAAATGATAAGATTACTAGAAACATTTTTGACACAAATTATCAAAACTGAAAAGATTGAAGTTGGCCATCAGATTACAGTTGGATCTCCGGTAACATACGACTGGCTAGAAGAATTATTGTTGACTGGACTTGGGTTTCTATATCTTGAAGGTAAAGGTTTCGTATAACGTGACTGGCCTTGTAGCGTAGATCGTGATCTAATAAAGCTATCTCGTTCAATTTCACTATCACTGGGTCCAGGGGATCTCTCAAATTCTGAATCATGTTCTTCAGCTTCTACACCTTGTCTTCGACGATTTCGAATTGCTGAAAATAGTATAATAGCATGAGGAAATATGTTTATTTTGTATGCTGAATGACTTTAGCTCGTCTAAAAAAATTTAGCCAATCAAAAACTTTGTTTAATTGGCAAGAATGCATGAAATAAGAGATTATCAAAAGCTGATTGAATTTCATTAAATTTGGTTTGAGAAGCATGCATATTATTATGCGGTGGGAAGATATTGTCAATTTTGCCTAGAACCGATGGCTCTTTTGAACTAACAGAAATAAATCAACACCCTGAATATTCTTCAAAGGTATTTTGGAGGGTCATCAAAATTTATAGTGAAAAGAAATATTACGGTTGGACGATTCTGTCTTTTCTTACTTTTCAAGAAGAATTAACAGAAGCTATTGAGTATTTCCATCCTACTTTATGTGATTTTATATTACTTTATATGTTAATATACCAATCATAAACAACTCTTCCTAACAGATTTCATCTTTCATCTTCACTCGTGTGATTCGAAAAATTCTCGATATCAATAACCACAACGTCTTTTGATCTAAAGTACTAACAGTGGTCTCCAAAAATCTAATATAGATTGAGATTTTAACTAATTCATTCATCATGTAACGATAGCGATGGGAGACTACACGGATATCGTATTTATAGTAAAGTGCCATTACCGTATAATCATAATTACGAATTGTGTCGTGAAGCTGAAAAAAAGTTATATCATTAGGTCTGTGGATGTCTCGTAATTAAATATGACTACTATAGACATATTAGTGATGTGAAACATAAAACGTGACGTTCAAAGCACTACAATATAAAACTATTGTAGCTGGTTACAAGGGACATTTTGTGTTAACCAGTTTTTGAATTTGCGTCGATTTACTAGTTATCAGAATGGAATTTCTGGTTGGATCATTTTCCAGACAAATTTGGCGCTGGTGTAAATAACGACTAAGATATACGCTCACGGTTTTATCGATCAAGAAAACATGAAGAGTATTCCATTAGGACGTTATCATTGTGAACATAATATAGAATCAATAAGTCGGAAATTATGAGTGATTTAGGAAAAAATAAACCACCAAGTAAAATAAATCGTTCTACATTATAAATTTGACAATTCATCTTCCCTTTAATTGTTCAAATGTTTAGGGGAATTTAACTACGCACTCGAAATTATTCCTCATCAATTTCGTAAGATGAAGACAACAGTTAAGTGATTTCATCTGCTAAGTACTTTTTACAACCAGCTTGTTATTAAAACTATTATATGAGCAATGGGGAAGAACACAGTTTTAGCCAATATGAAAATCCTTACATTCTGATTGACTAGGCGACCACTGATCTTCACTATCATTTCGATCTACATCATCATCGATAGTTCCCAAAGTTAGTTCCTTTGAAGGTTGTCGTGATCCAGAAAAAGCAGGATAATTGTTTCTCGGCATATGATACAAAATTTGAGCATCTGGATCGTCTGGTTGAGCGTATTCGGGACTGAAACATTTGACATTGTTTTTTTAAAAACAGGAGAAAAAATGTTACAATGCAAATCTTTCTCTCAAGCGGAGAGAAATCCATATTACCAACAAGATACAAGACGTTGGAAAAACGGAGTTTTCAGTTGATACATCTCATGATTGACCATATTTGTAAAACACACGATCATACTTATCAGTTTGATAAATTATGAAGTCATCACAGTGTTAAACGTCCAGTTAGGCAAATACAAAACAGTTTGAAAGGGTGAATAATTATATACAACTGTATCATTTCAGATCCTAAATATACAGCGATTTCTACAATATTTACCATAATAGAACTGTGCACATTATTGTCGTAACCATTAAGTTGTTTGAGAGAATTTTCTAATATCTGAAATCCTAAAATCCTGAACATATCAAAATAATCAAAAGCCTAATGACTAGTAAGATTCATTCGTTGAGAATTCGCATATGAGATGATTAAGACTAATGTGACAATGCTGTGGAAAGTGTTAACCATATATCTTGTGAGAATAACGTTTTCCCTGACTTCAAACAGTTGTCGTGTCATTCTTGAACGTTCTATCATATTGCATAGCATAACTGAGTTTTCTTTTATACGAAAGATGTTTTGCAGATAGAAAAAAGATTCGTAATTTGTGAGGAGGACTTCATTTATGCTTATTTCTTGATTGGACTACAATTAACAAAAGACATGAATACATTAAAAACCACCTTCTCCTTGCATCTGTTTGGCTTTTGACGAAAAAGGCTACTGCATACATGTGAACAAACGATATTTTTTGAATAGTTTTGTTATTCACTTCCTACATGACCGACTTACGCGACAAGTGTACTACTGCCAAATAGTTCGGACCTTTCACTTCTACGCCTGCAAAGAATTGTCATTATACGTCAGAGGCATGAGAAGACTTCTAGCATTCGACTTCGCTGCTTTTGTAACACTGATCTTGTATCGTGTAACCAACATGCTGGTAACATAGAAATCATGTATAGAGTTGTAAGTAAAAGAAGTAATTCAAAGGATTACGTGAACCTTTACTGACGTGTGTGTAACTGATATCTGATCAACGTCCATCCCACCATTTAACGTTAAATGAGTTTTAACCGAACAAAGCTGAATATAGTCAATATAAAATATGGCATCAGTCCTTGAAGTCTCAGACTGGTGGAGTGAGTCATGCAGAGAGATGCAAAACATTTAGATTAAAGTCAGCATGATAAGTGGAATGGGTAGTTGAAGAACCAAGTTAAATGGTACAGAATCAGTCATATTGGCATAAATCTATACACACATCAGCACTGTCTTAGTCTTCGCATTATATTTTGTATTATTACCACACTATCTCTTCGTGTTTTTAATGACTTCTACGGTTTTACTCCGTTTTACTTTGTTTTTCAATTTTTTTTATCTACTTTTGCCAATTTTAGATGTGATAGCCTAGACTGTTATCCTGGAATGCCACATCTCATATTGATAACGAATGGGTGACTGAACAGAGTTTCTATACCAATTGGATGGTCCAATTCTTGTAGAATGAATAAAACAGGTGTATAGAGGCAAATTATTTTTCAAGCATTTTAGAAAGTTTGTTGTCGTATTGTAGTAAAAAACATTCAGGCAGTAATTAATATATCACTGCGTATTCAGTTCATCAGAAAGCAATGGGATATAATATCTGCTTGTCAGTTCTGAGTGAATTCTATCAATTCAACTGAATGACTGAATAAGAAAAGAGACTGATTTTGAGCAGATGAAGGCAATCATTAGGAGACTATCAACTTAGGTCTAATAGGTTTTGGAGTTTAACAGTTGAGTGCACCTTTCATTTCAACTGTCTACTTTAGTGAAACAGAGTATGGGCTTCCTGACAGTTTCCTCCAATCAGCTAATAATGAGTAAAGCTCACTGCTATAAAATGTTACTCAGTTCACTCATCCCAACCATTTGGTTAATAATGAAGACTGAAGACTGTGAAATCGGTTAATTTCAAGTGATCGATTACGAGTGACTTTAAGGGCCACCCCAGCAATAGCTTAAAAAGCCTATCAGAATTCTCTATTTTATGAAAAACTTTTTTTCTAGGCGAAATGAAGAAGCCTAATTGGTTATTTCAATTGTTACCGGGGTGGCCTTTAATGTCACTCCTGATTACTACATTTACCTAGTCCTCTAAAAATCCAGTTGCTATTCATAGAGCAGGAAGTAACCTCTATAATATGGGCACCAGTTATACATATTCAGGTATTTCACATAGTAAAACTTATGTCTATTACTTTTGAAAGAAGAATAAGATAACGATGTAGAGAAGGCAAGTTTCTGAAATTAACCAAACAAAAACTGTCCTGCAAAAACTTTTTCAACATATAACGATCAGTTAATTGTAATTTATTTATTGCGTTGATGATGTATTGAGAGTTATCTACCACCTGTTCAAAGGATCACCAGGTAAACATCTAAAAACTTGTGACAAGACTGACATCCTATTAGCAGTTAGCTCTCATAGGTTAATTATTAGGATTCAGAACTAGCAATTTAGAATTCCCTGTCTTGAAATTTAAGATAACTCCAATTTGTATTCACCCTTTTACAAAGATATATGCAACTATCACATCTGGACATTTATCTGTAAATAAATATTCTATATTCCTCTTGCAATTTGTAACTAATCTTAACTTGTTCAACGAAACCACCATTTATTACCAAAACACCTGATAACATTGTTCACTAATGTTATGAGAAAAAATGGAAGGACGGTTTTAACTGTTGCTTAAATCTACTATTATATTGTTAAATTTTATTTTAAGAGAACACTTAGACAAGAAAAAAAGTGGAGATAAAAATGAGTTAACAACAAGAAAAAGTAATCACAAGTGGTTATTTAATTATACTTCAGCATAGAAGATGTTAAGAAAATTTATTGAAGAAGAAATTTGACTGACATCTTATTTTTGTATTAACTCAAAAGGGTGCTTCAAATAATTCAGCTCTTTTCATCTTCACCAAGATTCACAGTCATCTGTGTTCTACAGACTGAATCTAACATTCAATCATCATTTTTCTCACTTCACTATTTTCATTATCAATATTACTTTAAATAGGGGAAATTATTCATCATTTTACTTAACATTCAGACAAAGTAGTTAAATTCAATTAGGAAGAAATGAATTAATCAATGATAAACAGTTTTACCCGCCCATTTATTCTCACTTTTATGAATATTCTTGCAGAAAGTGATAATCTGTCTCCCAAAATGTCAAAGACAGAAAAAAGTAACAAAGGTATTATTAATAATGATAAGGGTAATAAGAGGGTACAAAATTTAAAATGAATTAGATAACCTTAAAACCCTTTTGTTAGCACTTTTCTAGTCTCAAGAAAAAGTATACTACTGAAACGAAACAAGTTGAATGAAAGTATTTTTATAAAAAGAAATTTGTAGGAAAACAACGAAAAGTAACCGTTACTTTCCATTATCTCATTCAATTGTTTATTTATATGAAATGTGCCTGGATTCAGTGATCGACAAATTATTTCTATTTTAAAACAGTTTTCGATGAGAGACAGCTGTTTTTTTTTAACGTTAATGTTAGTGAAAAATTTGTAGGGCACAGCAACAATTTTCCTGTGGCTTTAAGCACTATAACATTACACACCCTTTTTCATAAACCAGGCACAGAATTCATTGTCTTAAAATCCGCTTGATTCTTATATTCTAATTGTGCAAAATTTGCTCACAAGGTTGATTTCAAGGTCCTAAAGTTTATTATTGTTCCATTTCATGTAAAATTTCTACAACTGGATCTTTTAGGCATTCCAACATTTCTTTTTGTTAATAATAGGCCAAGGAATGTGATATTTGAGTGAGATTTCACTTCCATTCATCGTTCATGACATGATTTCAAACTTGCAGAGAGTACAACAGTTATTCTGTGAATGTTACTCCCCCACTAATTTTAAAGTGGAGATGGAATCTCAACCAAAGACATCATCTTTTGACGCACTGTTAAGATAAAGAGATGATAGAACACTCATAATCTCCATTCTTAAAATTAGTGAGAAAGGAAGTGAAGTTTGTCTCTTTTACCTCAGTTCAGCAGGAAACTAAAGCACTTTACCTTGTAGGCAAAATACTGATTTAGAAGATTTATTTAAACAGATTTAGCCATTAAGTACATTTCAGTTCGTGCTTAAGAACAGGAAATACCGTTGAGGTGAATAAATGCAATATGTGAATCAAGCTAATATTGGGCAAACTGAAAGCCTATAAAACGATGGGCCACTACTAATTAAACAAAAGCATAATGATTTTACATCTTCAAATGATCAAAGTATTTCGTAACTGTTTTCCATCTGATAATGTATTCAACCGAATATCTGACTCCCCCCCCAACAACTACTTCAGTCATTGTCTCAGAACAGATATGAAAAAAAGTAGTCCAACTTTCCTCCGTAACCCACAACTAAATTCACAGTTGTATTAGTGTCCAATCACCATCAATGGGAGAAACTTAAAGGAAGTAGCCTTTTTCACCCACGCAGGCAAGGCATCAACGTTTCAACTACAGGCAGTGCAGACGAGGTTGTCATAGCCGGGATCAGGAAAGCAAGACAGGCGTTCGTTAACCTGAAACCAGTGTGGAGATCTACCGCACTCAGCATAAAGAACAAGATCCGGATTTTTAACACCAATGTCAAGTCAGTCCTGCTAAATGGTTCAGAAACTTGGCGCGTCACAAAAAGCACTTCCAACAAACTACAGACATTCATCAACAGCTGCCACCTACGCTACTTCGATACGGACACTGAAGGTCAAATGGCCAGAAAGAATAAGCAATGAGGAACTCTAGTGACGAACCAACCAAGAACCCATCACCCAACAAATATGTGGAAGAAGAAATTGGAGATGGATTGGGCACACACTGAGAAGGTCGATTTGGGACATCACGCGCCAGGCAGTCAAGTGGAACCCGAGAGGAAACGAGTTGGGCGTCCGAGGGTGACATGTAGTGGATCGTGTTAGGAAGAAATGAAAGCTTCTGGGTGGTCGTGGTGCCAGGTCCAAAAGACTGCAGAGGACAGAGTGGAGTGGAGACGTGCAACTGAAGCCCTAGGTTCCACTAGAAACCCAAGGGACAAATAATATAATACTAATAATAATTAGTGTCCAAACCCTCATTACTAAACTCATTTCCATTTGATCTGACTTTAAGAAGCGTTTGTTGTTATTAAACCTGATAAATTATTCTCACAGTTTATTGCTACGAGGTAATTATAATCATACAATGATCTCTGAAGTGACAAAATTTGAGCATCGAGTATTACTTTTAACGTATTTCACTTATTTTTCTGTCGTTAATTTTCGCATGAACTATTCTACATTTCATTAATTGCCATTATTATCTTTCCATCTATTTGTGTCTATTCAATGTGAAAATGAATGTTTTTTTCTTTCTCTTGTATATTAGGCAATATTCGTTGCAATCATTGTTGTTGTCATTTTCGCTTTATCGTTCCAGTTGAATAATTTTAACAATCTTTACAGTACACTCATCAAATCTCACGGTCTTATTCAACAAAAATGAGAAAACAGACAAAACACAAACAAAAAGAAGAGTTTATGTGTATTTTTGTGTGTTGAAGGGAAAGATAGAGAAGGAATAAAAATGCAAAGTTACATGCCACTATTTGAAGCTGAATATATCACGTTTAATTTTCTTCGTTTTTGATGGGGAAATATATTTACGCAAACTAAAAGTTAATTAGAATTGTCTACCTGAAGACATCGTAAAACCCAGTCAATGGAAAAAATATTATCTGTTCGGTTATCTGAGACAGGTATATTTTGGCAGACTTACATTATTGATACTACGCGATGATTGTAGGTGAAATAAAGAATGAGTCGGCAATCTGGAGACAGCTGTTTCGAATTCTGCAGCGACCTAGATCTTCATTTCTCCTTCAGTCATCATCCAGTATCAAAAGTATATTAGTTAATAAGTGAAATAGAAACATATACAGTAAGGTTATCACATTTGAAGTTAATACAGTCCTGAAAGCTTCATGTATACAAGAAAGAAAGTGACATGATAATAAACTTTATAGAACTCGTTAGAAATGTATTTCAATTGACAATGTAAGGTAGGTGAGACTGAAGTGATGGTAGACTGTAAAAAACATGCAGTTAGCACAAGCGCTACGCTAGATCACGTATGTGTTATATCATTTTGGTCATCTAGATTTGCTTCTGGGTTATTAGGGAGTTGCTTAATTCATCAATATTTTAACCTTTATCTCTAAACATTGTGCATTTTAAATGAGGATAAATAACTATGGTTGCTCTAAAGACTGATAGAATTGTCGATGAAAAACATAGTTCACACAGTAGAGCTCTGTTTGACAACAATAATAGTTATATCTAAATGGGAGCGATTACACTCGCTAGATGAAAGAATATCTATAGGATGTTTGATAACAGCAGATACATTGACGAATTTAGAGGAGAAAAATGTTCTTAAGCCACTCGTCTGGGTTAAAATATACAGATTATGAATTGATTACACACTAGTAATGATAGAGAAGGGTGCTTATTTAGACAGCTATGTGAATAGTTATCAGTTCACCATGAAAATCAAATACGAATTCAGTGGAATACCTGCGTTAAATTGTAAAATTAAGATAGTGTTGAATAGTACTTTCAAAAATAACATTTATAGAAAACCAATACATTCAGAAAGATTTGTGGATTTTCAATCACCTTATCTAATATCAATGAATTAAGAGTTAATACAGAACTTTTTAAATGGAATAAGTAGCCTCATCTTTCAGAAGTAATAAAACGACATCATAAAAAGCAGGTATTCATACTACTCTCATATCCCTTAAAAAAAGAATTAAATCAGTTCAGGGACTGCCAACAAATTTGATGAAAACAATGTAAAATATTCTATGCTGACTGTCCTGTTAGATGGTCATTCAAGATAGAGTTGGATGCCATTCGAAAAGTAGACCAAAGTTAGCCATTGAAGACAGAAGAGTGTAAACATCTAAAAAAGAGCTCATCGGCTGTAGGTCATACATGAACAACGCTAGCATACTAAGTGGTAGCTGACTGGCTTAAAAACTCAATTTTTAATGACCTGGTCTCGAGCTCAAAACTCTCCCCACTTACTCGAGCCTAAGCAACCAAGCAGTTTCATAAGGCGTCATATAATATATGGCTGATAACCTAGTACTTAATACATGTACCATCTTGAATTACATTATTATTATTATTGTTATTATTATTACTATTTAATAATGATGGATAGTGGCTAGCAGTAGAATCCAGAATGCGCATACAAGCAATAGCAATATTTTAAGGGAGTGGTGGTGCTCATTGGTGACTAGCTTCGAGAAGTATTCCTGTAGTTCCAATGAGAAGTCTTGACCGGTGGAGTCAAAGCCTGATGGTCGTGAGGACAGTTACTCAACGATGACATTGGGTGGCGGTTGCGCTATATCGGGAGCTAACAAAAGTTGGAAATATGGAGCATCGTATTCTGACCCAGTGGCTCAATGGTAACGCGCTGGCCATGGAACCTGAACGTCGCGGGTTCGACTCCTGCCGGGGTCGCGCTGCTGAGGAGTCCCATACTAGTGCGAAACAGCTGTCCAGCGCCACGGGGTTATCTTTGTTCCTCCAACTGATGTCAGTCTACAATGAATAACACCTTGAAATAACACTATTATTATTATTGTTATTAAAATACTAAAGGTGACTGTGGATAGATGAAAAGTAAAATTATTAATCACATCATTATTCATACCTAGCATACGCAGTGAAGTTGACTCACAACAATTGTAAACAGCTTAGAACAGTGTGTTCGATAGACAAGCTAATTACCTAAATGAAAATCCTTCATGTGCTCAAAGTTCAAACTATAAGTGTGATTACGGTTGGTGATTTTGCTCAAAATACTGTCAAAAAAAAAATGATCACTGTGTATCAGGATTATTTTAAACTTATTTGTAACAGATTAATTCATTTAAAAATGTACTGAATCTTCCAAAGCATAGTTAAACAATTAATACTATGGATTTAAATTTATAGTTTGAAATAAACCAGGAGATCATCAAAAAGTATAGTCTACTAGAAAACTGTTTAATCTTGTTTCAGTGTTCCACCAAGATGTACATCCAAACCTGTATGATAATTTGAATCAAGGCTTGCAGTAACTCATTTGGGACCTGATAATTTGAATGTTTCAATTTTGATCAGTTTCCCTATCAGCCAACATTACCGGTGAACAGATGTCCTCACTCCAAATAAAGTTGACTTTATAAGTTAATGCTTCTGATTTCACAAGAGTCTAAGAGGAACGCAACTTAAAAAGTAAGACATTTCAATAAAAGTTTACCATAGAAAACGTATTCAGCCATATTATATAATCTGATTTCAACCTTCAGAATGAGATAGGGATGTAACACAGCTCATTTTATTTAAAATAGTCCTGGAAAAAGTTTTCTTTTCACTTTCCACTTGTTTGTATTCAGAGTACATGTATTCGGTGTGTAGTCATTCGTAGCAAAATAAATTGAATGGAAATGTGACAGCAATCTATCTTCTCTACTCTACGCTGAAACATGACGTTACAGTTCAAACAGTGCGAAGACTGAATATACAGTCCTGGAGAATGTGATACGAACTTCCATAGCAGAATAGAAAAAAACGGTTATGGCTTATGGATTATTCCAACCATGCTTCTCTGTGGTGGCAATAAAATTCCCAATATACCAACCTTTCATCTTCATAGTAGTAACTTGTCTTTAATTCCATAGGCTCAAAATATTATCAAGTAAATAATCCTGTATTCCTATGTGTTATAAATCAAATAAAAAATCCTAATGCGAAATTAAATCCTACCACGGTGCCCAAGTCTTACACTATTTGTGTAACTAGTTATTCTTGAAACTCTGATGATTGACATGCGGATAAATGCAAGCGAAATTTAGGTAAGCAAAAATGGAATAACTCACCTCATTAAAGAATGACGTGATTCAAGTAAAGGAGCATTTGCTTTCTTTTGTACTGTAAAAAGGTTAAAGAGAAAATACCTGTCAAACGTATGACATCTTTTAAAATAAAAAGATAAAAGTAACTCTGTACATACAACTCGCTTAACGGGAGAATTTTTTACCCAAAAATAATAACTAAGCGATAAGAATGGTATAGTAATCGGTTACCAGTGTCGAGTTTTTAGTGCTCAATTGTGAATATAGTCTATCATTTTGCTAAGCATACAGACGCTGTAGTGCACTATGAGTTACACGTTGGGAGTCAATTAACAGAAGGACTTGGATCCAGTTTTTGGGCTCGGTAGTCATCATCACTAGGACGTACACGCAACACCAGGAAGCTGGTATTCACTTGACAATTCGTGTATGTGCCACTTATTTCGGAATTCGGAAAATTTGCCATTAGTCGATTTATATGAACAACAATAGGCTTTGTGTACTATATAATATTTTATCAGATCGTTTTCATAGGCGATCACCAAACTTTGAATAAGGTCTATCCATCTCTGTCTATGCACTTTGGTTATTTGGGTACCACTGCCTTGAATCTTACTAAGATATTGGTTTTCTTACAACTTCTGTCAATAAACCCATGTATACATTGTTCACTTTATCAATTCAAGTCTATTTTTGACAGTTTGAAAAAAAATTGAAAGAATTTCTCAATAATAAAATTTCATGGGGTACTTTTTGTATAACCTCTTCGCAATGAAACAGACTGATGAAGATGAGATATAACATTCGTGCCTTTGTTCTGAAAGGTGATATAAAAAGAAACCCAACCATAAGGAGAAAAACCGTAGCCAGGTTGTAGGTACATTCAGTTGATAAATTCCAAAACGTTAGAACTTGAACTTTTTAGGTTAACTGTTTCTAAACATCAAAACGTCAATAATAACTATGACTCTCTTGGGTGACCAAATGCTTTACCATAGTTACGTGGCAGGGTTTCAACGCTTGAAGAATCTTTACACGGCATGGTTAAGTAATATGGTTGTTTGCACTTCTTCCTAGGAAAGTTTGAGATGATGTGTGTACCGGTGTCTACTGTTAGAGCTAAGTTAGTCAACGACAGTGAGCGTCCTCGCGACCCCGCTGGATAATAACCTATACACCGTCAGAACTGACATGACGGTAGTAGTGGTTGACAAGATCCATATGCGTTGATGAGTGTCTGAGGTCTTCAAGGCACTGACGGACCAGCCGACAATCAGGATTCGTGTCCAGCACTCTGCGAGCAGTACAACCAAAAGGTAACAGAATCCAGCTTCCTAATTCTGGTTGTCACTGTTGTCAAAGCAGTTCCGGGCTGGGTGGTGTGGTTAGCTTTGTGAAGGTGGGCGGTATTCATTCCGGAGTGCTAGGTGTCGTTCGCTGTTGTCTTAGCCATGAAGGTAGCTTGGAAGCAGCATTCAGTTTTGAAACTTCAGTGGGAGAGAAAGAGACAATCTCCCAGGAAAGTAAGCTGCATTCCTTTTGCAAGTCCGCGCACGTCAGTTTGACGATCCGATTACTAGAGGAATTTGAGTATGCTGAAGCCCGACACTTGAGCGGATTTCCGCATTCATTGACCAGCTTTGAGTTAACGTTAACAGAGTGCTCTGTAGGGAGTATTTATTTTTACGTGAACGTGTTGCTCGGTGAGGAGACCGATGCCTCACGTACGGATGACAAAATTTTGCATACCAGCTCGTTTGATGATTCAGTAAATTTCGTATAGCCTACAGGATGTCCATCTACCCATTTAGAGAATACAAATGATATTTCTAACTCTAAAAGGGTTATAATATAAATCATATACTAGATATAGAAGCATCACACATGCATCTGTGACATTTTATTTTAATCTTCAAGTTCGAAACTGGAATACTTTGAAGTTAATTTCCATTAGGAAACTACATCAACTCAAGCATTGCAAAATATCTTGTAAACAGACAGCTTAAGTAGAGTAAATTTGACGAAACATTATTCCAGTTTAATTTATCATTCTACATCACCAAAAATTAAAAAACCGTTGAAGTTCTATTCTGAAAAAAATACATAAAAAGAAATGAAAATTATACCTTCTCAGTTTGTAACCTGTTCTTCGATGTTTCAACTACTGAGATCCCAAGAAGTGTATATTGTATTGAGTGATTAGTTGTGAATACACTGTCAACGATTCAAGTATGAAGTAGAAACTTGTTAACTTTCTAAGTAGCAAACAACGAAGAATGATTCGTCAACACCGTATACTTATATTTTTTCTGACAATTTACTTACTAGTAATGAGCAGTGAATATTATCTTATCATCTGCTTTAGGTGTACTATGAGTAGTTCAGCCCTATAAAGCAGTATATTTAGCTTATCGTTTCAAAGTGATTTGTTAACTTAGAATGTTTTCTGAGATTGGACAGTAGTTGTTTCCAACTTACATGCAGTAGTTACCTTCTTTTACGAACAGGAATTCATTTTCACAAGGTCAATACCGTTTGAAACTAGCCACCTTGAAAATGAATTGTATCTCACTAAACACTTAAATTCAGAAAACACTGGCTAACCACAACCGATTCTGTAACCAACAAAATGAACTTAATCACTGCAGTAGCAAATGAATAACTTACTGCTGCCACATATGAGAATAGTATCATCACATATGCAGCAATATAGATGTATATTATACGACTGCTCAAATATAACATAATTAACGGAGTATTATATTATGTTTAAAGACAGACAAAACCAACTTAACAGGATTTCCAGATGATTAATTTTATGTCACTGTATTGCTACTTAAACCTGTTCATATCAGATGGAAATACACAGTGTGATGATATTCAAATTCATTACCAAAAATTATTTAGAGTAGCTGCAGTTATCTAATTACTTACCATGGTTTTGAGTTGAAATATTTAAAAACTAACATCGGCTTCAATGATTGGCATGGACGTGTCAACTGCTTACTCAACCAATGTATAACGTTTACATCTGACGGTTGGAAGAGTCTACCAATGATTCTGTGAAAAGTAGACCAATCTGATTTGGACAGGGTTCAACTAAGCCAATTTGAATGGTGTAGTATAGCGATTAAAAACCAGTTGACGAAATAAAACGACTTATTCAATCAGTAGATGAAAATTAGCTACTGCCTAAATAGCATTTGTTTACACACATTTAAGTGTTTCCAAGGCAACTAGCGTTGCCTTTTGTCTGATAAAATTGAATACGATAAACTGTTGGAAAACTGTTGGTTTTTAAGGATGAATTTGATGCTTGTTGTAAGACTATTCCTTTTATAGGATGTGACTGAAGATGATATTTCTGAAATTTGGTTAGTAGGAAACTTTCCTTATCTTAAAGTGTTGGACTAAAGTCTTTTCTCTATTTTAAATTTGGTGAAGCAGGTGAGAATGAAGATAAGAGTATTTCATACATAGGTATTTAGTGAATGAGTTTCATCAAATTGAGTATGTAGTCCATATGTGTACTACTTAGTGTTCTGTCATATATGAAGATAGATGAATGTTAAATGCATGTATCGAAACACTTGAGGTTATCTGTTTTTGAAGCCATATGTTCAACCATACTCAATTACATATGAGGATTTCTCTTTATTTGTGTGTCCACACTTGTAAACTGACAGATAAAGTAGAATGGGATATATTGTCAAAAAGTAAATTTTGTTTTAACTACCCCAATTTGAGTAACTCCAAAGTCTGTCTTGACAGGTAGTTGAGTAGTCAATAGAGATAAGTATTTTTGGGGAAAAATACTCTTGCAGTTGAAATAGAGAATCCAAATTGGCTACTTTAGTCTTTCTTATGGCGGTCTTTAACCTCAATCTTATTTTCGCCCCATAGTTTGCTTTGATTACTGTGAATCCATCATTCATCAATAGTTTGTTACAGTTGCCTTCAAGCCATATTACTCGAAATGTTCGGGTGACAAGCTAATCGTACGCTTGACTTGAAACAGCCATTTAATATACTGCAGAAAGTGGTCGCGATGACTGCTTGTGCTAATAATGAATAAAGACTAGTATTACATCAGTTTATCCCTTCATTTATTTGAAAACACTTAGTACTCACCGTAACCCCTCATTTCAGAAGAATTAATTTCACTGACCATGCAAACAGTAATTTTTCCTGCTCTTATTATCCTTCCTACACCTACATTTCCTCTTGACTTAACTGACGTTTCCAGAATGTTCATTAAAAATTCACGATTTGAAGTGTTTTATTCGTATTATGCTGTTATAATTTATCCTATTTCATACTTCGGCCACATGATATTCTTTCCACTAATCACAAATCATGTCTATATTCATTAACACTTCACACTGAATCCAAAAGCATTTGAATTCATCTCTTCATCATCCTATTTAGTGCTTGAACCAAGCTTTCCTAAGCTGGCTGTTATCCAGTCTGTTTGGTAGCTAGCAGTGAAATCCAGGACGTGCGTTTCGTTCTGTCTAAGGGTTGTCGGCTAGATGTACCTGCACCCAACTGACGGATACTGTTCCCACTGAAATTTGAGCCCGGTACCCATCGCTTCAAACGCCAAAGCGTTATCCACTACGCCACTGGGGCACAATAGCTACCTATTGTGTAACAGATATCGTACCTCAAACAACGTGCGATATCCGTTACGCAATAGGTAGCTATTGTGCCCCAGTGTTCTAGTGAATATGGTTTTGGCATCTGAGGCAAGAAGCACTGGTCTAGAGTTCCAGTAGGATCAGCATCACTCCCTGGGATGCAGGTACATCTTATCTATAAGCCCGAAATACGGCGAAACGCGCATCCTGAATTCCACTGCTAGCCACCAAATACACTATAACAAAGAGTTGTTGGGCAGCGTTAGTGGATCCACATAGAAGCACATCTGTCAACAGAGGTCGAGCAATTCACCCCAGTATACAGAAACATTACAAATATCTAACAATACTACGAGTTTTGTTTACAATGAGTTGTTCTCGAAGCCAAGGTTTTAATTTGAAAACATCCCCACATCATCATCAGTGTATCAACGTTTCACAAGGAAGTGACGTAACTGGTTTTGCATAGTTGAAACGTCCTACTTTGCATAAGCGTAACCTGACTGGTTACTTGGTCACTATGAACATCACTATTCCAAGTTACGAATATTCGCCAAAACCGGCTTTTTCGCAGCGTCATTCACGGCTTTCAGAGTTTGATAAGAGGCAACAAACATCCTAATATCAGAATTTCCGATTTGCGAGGATTCTACTTCGTTGGATTAGTCAAATATATCATCCAAGCAACTTTGAGTTATCCCAATACACAGTCAATGATGACCAAAACATAAATAAGTAGAATTTTTGCTATTTCAAACTGCTTTATTAAGTGTTCACAACAGCTACAATTATTTCTCAAACATAAGTTCTTAGACTTCCTATTGAAGCTGTATTTTCAACAAGTTGCCAGTAACACTTGCATGTCACATGAGGAGTTACATTATCCATTATTCATTTTCCCCATCTATTTATGTGTAAAATGTAAATGAACTACTTCTGACAGTCATCAAATATTTTCTGTTTGCATATCTTCTCCTTTCTTATTTTTTCTAGTTAGCGTAACAACTTGTTTCCTGAAAAGTTTTTCACCTTTATAGTAAGCGTCAGTCATGAAGTTTGTACACCTTAGACTGTAGTTCTCCTAGCTAAGCTGAAGACATATATGAGTAGTTCAACCGAAGTTTAAAGGATTCATTATAAATGTAAGCACCTACTGATAGTTTTCAATTCTCCGTTCACTGACTGAAACTGAAAGTGAGTACAGAATGAATTCTACTGTAAATTGTCATGTCTATTCTGAAAAGCGTAGCCTATTTTGGTGCCTTTCACGGTAATTAGATTGAACGTATAATTATTTCGAATCAGCAGGTCATTAAATTTATTTTGTTATGCTTTTTCTGATTAAGAAACCCAGTAATCATGTGAAGCTGCTGTGAATAATCTTTAAGTGAAATCTGTTTCATTGAAGTATATTTTAACACTCAGCAATCAGCAAGTCTTACACTGTCTAAAATTTAATTGTTTTTCAATGAACTGAGCGCATCTTTATGACATTATTTTCTTTAGGTTTTATGACCCACTACATATGATGTTTTCTTGTTTATTGATAGAAATATTCGAATATTGAATCAAAAACACCCATCGAAGTAGGCAGAGATCAAAATGAAGACTATTCAAAGACAGTTTTGGGCATAGTATTTTACGGTTAAAACCTCAAACTCTTTAATCTAGATAAGTTGTCTAAATGCGACAAGACAAAGTTCATTTGAAGTGAGACATCTCATTAATTTCCATTCAAATATTTTTATAACGACATTAAATTAAAATCACTTACCAGATTCAAGTCTTCTTTTTCGTACCAGTATTAGGAGAACAAGAAGGGCAAAGAAGAAAAGAAGTAAGGCACAGACAATAACAAACCATGTTCCACTTGCTCCAGCTAAGCTTCCTGGACTAGGGCCACCTAATGTGTGGATCAGTCTATCTTCACTTGTTGCAGACATAACATCTCCGTTGGTTGCAACCATTCGAATTGTATATGAAGTATCTGTGAAGGTAAATATCAGCCCCAATAACAAAGTTGACTAGTTTCATACTACTGATAAAAAATACTGAAACTAAACTCTATATACTTACTTCTTTAAATCCTTCGAATGTAAAAATGAGATTCTAACCTTCTATAGTGGTCTGTTTATTCATTCGCCATAATCGAACTATATTTAAAATTTTTTTTCTACTATGAGACACAAATAGGTAATTATTTACTAGAGAAATATCCATTTCTATAAGATAAAATTTCAATTCATAATCACTCTACATTCTGATCACAGTTGTTTCAGGCGTGATAAGGTTTAGTCCTAGTGAGCATACACAATCGTTTCATCTTGAATGAAATAGTCATTAAAATCTAACGAAATTTCAATCTAAGTGTTATACTAAGTTGTTTCCCATGAATAAAATTATAGCTTGTGCATAAATCAACATCCCGTTAACATATATACATTAGGTTAAACAAATGTTGTGCGTTGTCTCAAAAACACTTCAATCTCTCCTTCACTTTTGATGAGTACTTGGAAAGCTATACTTCATTTCTTCTTATTATTATTATTATCACTATTATTATTAGGCTGAAGTAAGCTTCTCAACCTTTATCTGTGTCACTCCTATGAACAGAAAACCCTACTTACAGAAGGTTCGTAGTTGATCAGTAATTATTAGACATCATATCAGACAGTATTTCAGATTCTTCATTTAATAAATGGCACAAGATGAGGCTACTTATTCAGTTTGAGAAATTTGAAACTTACCGATCAGATAACGATCATCAAATAGTTTGAGAATGAAATTCTATAATGTAAAATCCTAGCACAACTGTTGGAGTGGGACGAAAATTGAATCTTATTGCTGTCATATGCAATAACTGCATAAGGATATTCAATCAAAGTGATGAGCAAATTCTATTTTTGCAAGCATATTCAGTCAAAGATGCACAGACTATAAAGAAAAACATTCCTCTTTCTTCATAACATGTAAAGCAAAGATTTTAAGCTGAGCTTATTTATCTAGAGTGTACCTAAAATTCCTCAACTAACTAAAAGAATAAAAAAGTACAAATTGTAATTTATCCGATGAAACATCTTACCTTTGAATGAAAAAAGAAATTCCTTATATAAAATAACTTAGACAAAAACATCAAAATCAAAGGTCTGGACTAAACGTCGTTTGATTATCATTGTAACAGTGAAATGAAATCCTTTTGGAACTACGCAAAATATCGATTTTGAAAGTTCTACGACTGTTAGCACTTTTTTAATATCCATAAAGCTAATTTTCTTGCGAAATTTATTGATTAAGACACTATTAGAACTCTTATTTCATCGCACACGAGGGAAACCTGGATAACAATCTAACTGTTGTCTTCAGTAAGCTTCATTCGTAAATGAACGTTTATGTTCAAGGCAGTAAGTTTTTATCGAATCGGATAGCGCAAGTCGTCGCTTCAGTCCTTTTCTCACAACTACTACATTGAGGAAAATTTGCATCTCATAAGCTTCACTTTTTTTCATTTGGAAAAAGCTATCTGCTTTATATTGTGCACTAAAAAGGCTTTGATTTAAATAACACTTAGAATTCTCATTTATGCGGAATAAATAAATTCTTCTAACTCTATTCCTATTAGATTTTCATGCGTGTAACTGACTTTCTGTTCGTGTATCTGAACAGTGTTCTTCCGCTTACTTACAGAAAGAATGACTTATTAATCAAGAGTTTCAAAACGAATCAGAAACCAACTAGATAGTCTATATGTTGTCCCTCTTAGGTATGAAACGTTTTCACTACCAAACATTTATCCAAAACACTAGTTTGATAAAAAGAATAGAGGCGAAATAAGAGATAAAGCGCTCTTTCTCGGTACAAAAACACTCATTCCATAAAATAAAAATATTTTACGCTTACCTGATATCAGTCCATCAACAGATATAGTTCGATTAATAAATGTACGAACTGACTCTAACCAATGAACAATACCAGGTTGACGATACTGTACAAAGAATACTGTACCGGGTAAACCTATATGACTAGGTTCATATATAACAGTGAAACCAGTCTCAGTGACACGAGTAATAACGAATGTCGGGGGACTTGGAGCTGAAAACAAGAGAATCAAACAAATCACAAAATGTCTCAGACCAACAACTAATTAGTTACATCTTCGGAGTGAGTTAACCGGATGAATAGATAAATATAGTAAGTGGACACTTGCTTGATAAATAAAATCAATCCTGTCCAAAGTTAATGAACTAGAAATTGCAGTTGAATTCTGAGAAGAGTCACATTAAAGTCCAACAACATAGTTAACATTTTAAATTAAGAAGCCCCACTCAGCTATTAAGTCCTGGTGTAAAACACGAGTTTTATTTAAGTTAACAGTAAAATTTCAGCGCCTTAGTAGAGCATAGTTCCTTATTATATTGTTTGTTTGATATGCTACAGTGTAATAGTATTATTCACTGGATGACGTCTCGAGTACGATTTATCTATCATAATCACATCATATCATACTTTGACAGGATCATGACCAATGTATTGTGCTAGAAACTTCGTTTAATAAACATTGTTATTTCACTTTGTGCTGTATCGGATAGATAATCTCATATATAACTACTGGAAATATATTACCACTGTTATACTGGGTAAACAAAGAATAATTATGTCAACTGCGCTGTGAAAAGACAATTTCAAAATCTCTTCGCTGAGGTTTTTCCGGTTTTTCACATCAATGTTTGGGCAGTCTGCTAGATATGATAAGAAACCTAAATTGTCGTAAACTGCTGGCTTTTGTCATAATGTTTAATTACTTATGTTGATCAACTTAGATGTAGTACATGTGTGAAGTGACTGTTCAAACAAATGAGCGAAGTTAGTTCTGGTAGTGCTAAGAATGGTCTTTGGAATACGACAGACACTGTTCAGTGCATGAAAACGTTGACAAAAGCATTGCGATCTCACAAAGAAGTGTATTTACTTACAGTTATATTTTTTGATTATAAAACAAAACTTTTAATCTGAACATATCAAAGATTAAGGAAGACCGACAAACTCCTGACATCTCCAGAATAACTGAAACATTTTATCTAACGTTCATTAGTCGATATGCCTAATTCAAAAGTGCATTTATTAAGTTTAGTTGCATCAAGATTTCACCATATTTCTCAAAAACAGAGAGTAAAGGAAAACTTTACTTAAAAAGTCTATAAAACAATATTTTAGGAATGTTTCATTTTTTCTTAGAGTTTTGGACACGGTTATTTAAGTTGATACAGCTTAGTGGTTAAAAAACTCGTTCCGTTGTAGAATAAATATTTTACTAATGTTTGCAATCAAAAAATGTCGTAATTTAGCTTGTAACCTGTATTTCTAGAATAATTCAACCCATCTTTTCATTGTAGATGAAAAAGCATTTCCGTTAACTCTTCAAGTCATATAAAGCATCTGTATACATTGAAATCCAGTACAAATGTGATTCAATCTAATCTTAAACTTGTGCAAGGATATTTTCCTCTTTCCATTGCTGATCACGCTGGAAATATCATAAACAAGAATTAAAATTTCGCAAATAAAATGACTCAACTCGAGATTCTCCTATAATCCATTCTTAAGTGCCAGGACATCCAGGTGCAAAGTGCAACATAATATTTTGGCCAAGATAGGTATCAGAAAATATTTGCATATTTTTGAACATATCAGTGCACATTCTACTGACTGTCATCATTGCATGAAAACAGAGAGCTTCATAATAATCAATTCTGTCCATCCACGCCTTAACAATGTCCACCCCGATTAGGACTAACGTGTTTCAAAAACCCACGGTGGCTATTGTCATCATCCAATAGTTTCATCAGATGCAGTAAGATAATTGATAATAGAGAGACTCAGAGCATATATACGAATAGGTGTTAGTTAGAAGTCTGCGACCTCAACAGAACTGATGTTCCGCCGAGGATTCGAACCCACGCCACCAGGCGTTGTAGTCAGCAATGTTACTCCTGGAGGGTTACCAACTTCATATTGTCTATTCCTAAGTGCTGATTGAATTCTGTTGATCATTTTGCAATGTGGCTACCACACTAGGCAGCTCGGCATAGCGAATACATCATTGGTAACGTTGCTGACTGAAACACTGAGTGACGCATGTTTGAATCTCAGGTGCAATATCAGTCCCGTTGAGGTTCCAGACACGCCTTGCTGACGAGTACCAAGAAGCATAAAACCTAGGTCCATTGCTTCTTGCCGATTGCCATCATCCAACTGGTATCTGTCAAAGTTCATCATAATACTGAGCTGCCTATTCTGGTGGCTACATTGCAAAACGGTCGGCAGAATTCGATCAGCGCTTAGGACTAGACAACATGAAGTCAGTTACCTTCAGTGACCAATCAGTGTATACGAACGGGAAAAAGAAACAATGTACTACACAGAACAGGTAATCATTGTTTTATTCAGGAAACGGTAAGCTATTAGATAGTCGGAGGCTGTAGTTATCGTGTATTATGTATAAAATGTCCGGATGAAGACATACCCAAGATAGATTTCAATCTGTCACCAGTGAAGTTGATAACTAGCTTCAAAACTACAAAAAAAATGCAGTCATACAGACAAATTTTAGCGTATAATAACAATACAGTGATGCTTGACCTATTCACTAACAAACGTTTTCTGATTTCGACACACAACATTTGTCTGAGCAAATGTATAAGATACCTTGATTCATTCATCACCGAAATAGTAGGCTAGAAACCACTTAACTATAACATGAGTTTATTTGTAAACTAAATTCAAATTTTAACTAAATCAGTTCATACTACCTTTTAGTCATTAGTGACAAGAAGAAATAAAAATTTATTTTAGAAACTAATGATGACAATACTACATGAACTTGGGCCAACTAGTTGAAAAAAACTTGTAAAAAAAGATATTTGGCAGTTCTTTATACAATTATACACTTCAACTCTTCTCAACTGAAGGATGACAGTATCTACCACAATTGCTGCAAAATTTCAGCCCGTAATTCAATTTAATAATGGAAATATTAAAGCATTTTACATATACGTTGTTAAAAAAGCTTAAAGTAATCGAGTACAAAGTCAGAAGGGATTAACAAACATTTTGAAAGCCCTAACCATTTTGTGGTAAATATTATTGATCAAAATATTGCTAAAATGGTATATACATGCATTACAACGAGACACGTTGTTTAACAATTTAGTTTTCAATTAGATTCAATTCCGGTTTTACCCCCGTATTCACAGTTCTATAGGAACTTACTAAATGTTGAACTAATCATGACTATTTTTAAGTTTATTATTGAGGCAACGTAAATTATGCATTGAAAAATAGTTTTAACCGTACTGAAGATAACCATATCAGTAATGACTTAAGCCATTGCAATAAAAGGGATGGTATGAATCATTAAAACAACATGATATTTTTCAAGAAAGTAAGCCAAAAACATGGGAGGATAAAAGTATCCCTATATTAAAGGATGAAGTGAGTGGAAAGTTAAAATCATAACAAAGATAAAAGGTGTATGAAAGCGGTTGAGCAACATGTTTGTTTAAATGCCTGGTAACATACCCTACATAGTCTTATGCACATATGCAGCTAAAATGGTAAATATACAGAAATGACAGAGCTGGTTGACTTGTCTGTCAGGTAATCTATTTGATAAGTTTCCTTTCCGTTCGACAAATTAACTCTACATCTACATTAACAAGTTCACAACTGCTAGACACTGAATCTCGGGATGCTCGTAAAGTGAATTTGTAATATTCCCTGCATAGGCAATATGGTGTCGTGTATACAACTATAATAGGGTATCAGAAACGAAACGTGCATTCATGGCATGAGAGTCCAAAGTTCTTGAGAGTGATGTCTGGTGTCCAAATTTGTATGGGGTTCATACCTTAAAGGATATAGTGGGAAATCGATAACGAGCTTTTAAGAGACTAAAAATTGTGCTCTACTGGCGTGGATGATTTACAACGGTTGCAGAGTGAGATATTGAAGATGTTGTAAGAGTCCTAATATTGGCATCAGGAAGTAAAGGAAAAGGAGGAGACAGATGTGAGGTGGGTAAGTCAAACCTAACTGAGTTTTGTGTGCTGCTCGAAACGTGAGAGTCAGTGTTACTTCTCGGTTCCCCACATCGTAAAAGTTGTTTATGCAGGTTATCTGACAAAGAAAAAGAAACAGATTTGTGTGACCACAAATCTAATAAGACGTTTGCCTGAAGTCGAACACACACAATCTTTTTAGGATTGCTTGACTGAGACTGAGTTTTGGTAACGTCAAACAAGAAAACCCAATATTTCGCGCATCAGAATATCGCGGGGCAGGAGGGAGTGTGTAACTTTGAGATGACAGCATGAGCATGGTGCTGTCAGTCATCGACAGGGAACATTCATCCTGTCTCAGTGAAAACACTGTAACAACGTTTTTCGGAATGTTTTATAAGGGAATATTACACACGTTAGCTTACATTCACAAATTAGTAAATGTGTTTTAAATCAAAAAGTTATTTATTGCGATATTGGAGAATATTTGTAGCTCAGGAGGATAACTTTGATGATGTTGTGTTATCTGAGAAGCATGATTTAAGACATCTGTAAAGCTTTGGTTGACATTCTAGAAAACGTCATTAGCACAAACTTCGAGAAATTGCCGCTGATCAAACTGGAACCCTGGGTCCGATATGTAGATGACACATTTATTATCATTAAAAAAACTAATTGAAAAACGCTTCCATATTAATCAGCAACAAATTGCAAGGACATCAAATTCACAAGTGAGGGGAGATCAAATAGCAAACTTGCATTTTGGATGTTCTGATCACTAGAACGGAAAACCATTATATACGGATTAAATTCACAACTACAATAGCAACAACCCAACGGCACAAAAAATCAGTTGCATAAAAACATTGTTCAGAACAACGAAGACATAATGTAGTACATCGACCCTGCATAGGAAAGAAAAAACTATTTGATGACTGTTTTCCAGAAGAATGGCTTTCCATACAGCTTCATAGAAAGATGTTTACCTAATTCATCATCAACCCAGCATTTGACCTCCAAAACCAACAAACAGACTATCCTACCTCATATAAAGGACGCCTCTGAAGCCTCTTGGAATCACTGTAGCTCACAAGCCCATAAAATCTCTTCATTCTCTGTTGTGCAAACCAAAAGATACAATGGTAAAGGAAGACGACCAAAAACTATCTACAAAATAAACTGCAGAAACTGCGAAAAACAATACGTCAGTCAGATTGGTTGCCCTCTTCTCATCACTCTACATGAATATCAACTATCAAGAAGGTCAAATTTCAGGTCACCATGACAACCAATCAAAATAAACAAGGCGACAAGGCCCCGACAGAAACAACCAATCACACACAGGATTGTCAAAACAGGCTACTCATTAATTTGCGCAGAAAACCTCATAGTTTACTTCTTTCTGGAATTTCTGTTGATAATGTTGTCTAGAATAATAATGAAAGCTTCATGATTACATCATCCAGCTCAGAAAACGCAACACCATGGAAGTCATTTCTTGATCTTGATAAAAAATGAATGTGGAATTTTTTTAGGAGAATTACGTTTAACCATGAGATAACTAGAAAATTACTAAAAATTTGAACTTCATGAATACCTTTATCACTAGGAGCAGTTCGTATGTCAATGAAATTATCAACACCAAGCCCGGCTTTAGTTATTGGCCATACTGTTATACGATACGTTGTATTTCCTTTCAATCGAGACATTCGATAAAATGTCGTAATGTTATCCTTGACCGGAGGATATCGAAATCCATATCCAATATCCAATCCATTCACTAGAATTTTTAAAAAGTGAATTACTGAACATAATGAGACACTGTAATTATGAAAAGATAGAATAAATTTATCCTTGCTATTCATTGAATTGGCAGTTCTACTTTTCAAGATTTGCAAGTAAAATTGCAAAATCATGCGTGAAGCAGAGGATTGACCCACACTGGGATCTATGTAGAATTAGACAAACAACACATTATACACATAATCCTCTAGGTAGTGAACTGGCTTACTGTCAGGATCACGTTTTCGAAACTTTACTATTTCCCTACGAAAGCAAAATTTAGTGGTTGAAATTCTCGTACCATTACATAATAAAGACGTGGATGGACCTACTAGATATTTTATCAAGGAAAAATAACATCAGGCGGTAATATTCACCTGACTGTTTGGATCGCAGGAGCTCATCAAGTTGAAGGTTGCTTTCAATGTGAACTGATATTGTCCTAGAGACCAATGAATCAGAAGAGCACTGTGAAACTAATTCATAACATTTTCGATAACAACAATTAGGATTTCATGGTGGACATTTGAGTTAACTGAATTCGCCCAACGCAAACAATTTGATACCACTTTGAGTGTCTCAATTATTTGGTATTCTCCATGAAACTTGAAATTCCTCGAACTGATGTCATATGACATCAGAGAAGCGTTACGTCAAGTAGACAAAAAGGAGAAAGAATTAGTTGTTTTGTGGTTGTGAATATCCTTCGGGATGACATCAATAGGTATTGCAAACTGCTTTGAAATATACCAACTTCTTATTTAATTACTGAGAGGGAATACTGAAATGAGATGTCTCCAGTCATTCCAGGTTTCCGTATTCAGCGTCATATCATCTGCTCTATCTAGAATGACATAGTTTGTTCTGAACATAAATTCGCTTTGAACCTCTATTAACACCGACCTTTTAAAGTACTATGAGACCTACCATATGACTCATCTCTATGTTGCCACGTTCCAAATGATATCTAAAATTACGTTGTGTGTGTATGTCTGTTTTACTGAGTTGAGTCGTGGAATAGATAACTAAGTATTACAACTTTTATGGACGTCTAGCTCATTGAATCCTGCTACTTTCAAATGCATTGCTTGTTCCAAATTTGCATCGGGAAAGAAATGTTTTCAATTTACAAAAGACACTATCAAATTAAATAAAACTTGAAGTTGTAATTATTCATTATTCACTAACATTCCATAGCTTCGAATTCGTAACCAGTAATATATCCATTCGGTTCAGTTGGTAGGGACCATGATACATCTACATAATTAACACTGACTGCATCTGCTTTTAAATTGGACACCGGGCCAGATAAACCTTCTGGTGTCGTGAATTCAACTGCAGGACTGAAGGGAATAACAAAAATACGTACTCCAGTAAATCTTTTGGAAATTCTTATTACTTACATATATGTTCAGAAATATTATAATAATGAACAAGTGGACTGAAATATTATGACAGTCATTGTTCGAACAAGGACTATTTAGCTCCATATACAAAATCACAATCCTACACTTGTGTCAAATAAACTACTTATTTGCATTGTATTCAAATAATTTCAAGAACAAAAACAATACCAGATGTAACAATCAATTTGAGAATGAATAAAATATTTAACTTCATCCGGTTTAAGTATTTATTATTGAAGAAAATGGTTGGCAATAAATGTGAGAAAATGGCGAATATGAAACTTCAATAGGAATATATTAGCAGAATATCCCGAACTTTGATATTTGATACTAAGAATGGATTAGTGAGAATACCTAGATCTAGGTTTCGTGGTAAGTACCACCCAGAAATAAAGGTGCATCAGCAACCATGAACAAACTGGTATTACTTCAGTGACCATTGTCATTCGTTGCGCAAGATAGACATCTTACAACTGAGCTATTCATGTCATAACTGAGCTCCAGTAGCACTGAATCATGGATAAAAAACACGGGTCTAGAGGTACTTGCTGACTGACTCCCAAAATGTACCATCAGAATGCAGAGCATAGTAATGTCACGTTGCTTAGCTTAATGATGACGCAGTAAACTTGATTGATAGAGTTTAGACTCGGCTAAGTATTGAGGAATAGACAGTTACATTAGTTACATGCTGATGGCCGATTTGTCCAATCCAAAATAATCAAAGATAATTCTCCAAGATAGACTTTCAGTAATATAAGAGTAAGACTTCGGCATTATGGTAAGATGTAATTCCAATTTAGTTGATTTATTACCTCACACTAGAAAAGTATTATTCATTGGATTGCGTTTCTGACACAGTTTATTATCCATAGTCTTATCAAGATAAACTTTTTCATAATATTATTTTGCAAACAGTTTTTAATATCTCACCAATCGGTAGTACTTATCGTTTCAACTCCAAATGTATTACTACAAGTGTGGCTTAACGCACCTAGTTCAGTATTCGTAATTCAATGTTTCTTGTTGTCTCCTTGTTCACACTTGCAAATTCGGGAATTATACACAGAAAATTAAAAAGAGGGTAACTCACATGTCAGCTCATCTCGTGTAACTCTTCTATGTAGGAATTTAGATGCATAAAAATCATTTCCTGAGGCATATAAACAGTTCAAAAACATTATTTATATTGGTAAAAGAGTTGAAATCATGTTAATAGGTTTCATAATTTTACCTTGCTGGACCTGCATACTTGTTAGTTAAAATTCGTAGCCATAACTTAATATTTGTTGCGCCAGGAACACCAGTAAGTATGTAATTTATTTTCATACCCCAACTGAATTTTGATTGGAATGACTGACTATTTGACGCATCAACTGAATTAGGAGCTTGACGCGTCTTACGAGCGAGTAGCATACTGTAAGCATCTCCAAGAACAGATGGTGACTGAGCAGCCCGTGGGAATAAACCTGCACCTGGACACGATATGTTTCGTCTGGAATTGCTTTGACAAATTGGATTAGGAACATCTCGTACTATAGATCCCATTAGCCATCTATAATACACTTTGGTAGAAACAGGTAAGTAACGTTCTAGAACCGATTCATAAGCATGGAATATATCACCACTTGTGGTTTCATGTTCTACCTTTTCTTCCATTACATCTACTGACCTTCTTCGACGATTGGTATAAAGTACAGGAGTGTTAGGTACACGAAATATCAAGTCCTAAATTTGTTGAGTAAAAAAACGCAAATCCAAATAGTAAAAAGGAAAAAATTATCAACGTAATCATTATTTTAAACGCCATGACATCACATAAAAATTCTCTCATTTTACTTCAATATTATGCATGAAACATTTATGGAAAATAAATAATTTATTTACTAGTCTCAGGAAAATGGATGACAGTGCCACAAATTGTATAAATTATAGACTTTACTTCCAAAACAGCTTTTCAGGTACTGCATTTATGTAACTGATCATAATTCATTTCATCCTTTAAAAGCCTACCTTGATAAATTGAAATTTATTTGGTATTATGAGTAGAATATTATACAAACTTCATGAAAAACTTGTAGTATATTAAGTTAGTAACAATCTATACACCATCTAAACTGTTTCCTTTACTTACTACCTAGTTAACTGGAGTAGAAAACTTTTCTCTCTCATCGTAGACTCTTTCAATAATTTATTGGTTTGAACGCCTGAACCGTTATCTCTTACATTTAAAATGAATGTGTATAACAGAACATCTTGCCACTAAGCATCACACACACCAAAAAACAACTGTAATACTGGGTGGAAAACTCCATATGAAGACGGCAGAAAAATGGTGCATAAAATAATCTCGGGTGCACAGTATGGCTTCACAAAAGAGAAAGGAAAGCACTCCACACCAATATTTCAGAACATCTGGTAAATTACGACTACTCGCTCAATGGAGAAAACTACTTCGGTGTGAGAGCTCCGGCAACTAATATTTGAAAACCTAAACTGAACATTCAAAAAAGGCTTTCTCATTAATTCGAGTTGCAATGGATATGATCTATAAAACCATTTCTCATCCAGAATATTTTCTTTCCTCTACTCACTAGGATATCGAGTATTCTTACATTCCACATTCTTCCACTCTTTAAATTCTGATTTCCTATCACATTCACCAGTCTCTTTAACTAAACTATATCATTTGACTTAGCAAATTATTATCGCTTCGGTCTTCATAAGTCTTCTTCTCACTACCATTTCAAACATCATTGTAGTTCCTTCTCCGATCTCCTGACTTAATCAAAACTGAATTTCGTTCAAACATATTTCATGAAACATTTCTTTTCTATTACCATGTGAATGAGTAAGATTGTGCATGTTGAGAATAATACCGCTGCAAATAGTGACTCTTCGCTAAACATCCTTGTTTGACTAACCAAAAAATATAATGACCAAAATCAAAGGCGAGAAGAGAAAGAAGAATGTGAATGATAATCTGCTAATACTGTCCCAAAGGAGAAAGAAGGAATTACACGATAGATTTCTAGTGAATCTTGCATAAAGTCTTTAATCTGTGATGGAGTACGATTAATTTCAGTGGAGAATTCGCGATATGGCGCCACCTCCATACAATGCCGTCGTGATGTACGACTTGGTTTGTTCCACCAATCAAGCCTTCTCATTAGAACTTCGTGAATCACATGTTTAAGAAAGTTCCTAGTGAGGAGTTTTATTTACAGAATGCATTTACACAAAAAAAATCCATACTGGATGACGGTGGGATGAAAAGCTAGGTCGCAGCAAGATCCATACTTTATAAATAAGATGACAAGATCTGACTGGGAAGCCAGTGTGCTTAAGATGATAGTACATATTCTACATATGCGAAAGTATCTATCAGAACACTATTTGTCAAAATTATCTTGCGATTCCGACAAAGTAGATTGCAAATGGGAATACATAATAATTATTGATTGCATAGAATAAGTACACCCATTTAATCCATTTGTAAGCATAAAAATATAATTATGGATCACTAAGAACGCATCCTTAGTAACTCAGAGGTTAGAATTCTGTTTCTTAGTATGTTGTTCAGACATGTTACTGCTATACATCATGAGTTGTAATATGAAATTATAAAAAAAAAATAGACCTATACACAAGTCAAAGGACCGCTTTAGTAAAACTGTTTTTCCCTATTATAAATAAATCAAGTCAAATTTATTTAGAACTACCTAGTGTTTGAATATTTTTATTTACAGATCTACACCAAAAAAATAAATTTGAAATATTTCATTTGCTTACTTTAAACTGTTTCTTTGCATCACATTTAACGGTGTCGAGACTTGAATCACACCATTCAATTCTATAACCTCTAAAGAATCCTTTAATGTCAGCTTCTGTATTGGCTTCTATTACTTTCAGTTGCAATTGAACACCTTGAGCAGTTATGTTTAAAACGATTGGTGCAGGAGGAGAAACTGTTGGCATAGCTTCACTAGAATAGCCTAATGCCATGGTAGGTGCCTGAGTACTAACACCTTTTTCATTTCGACTTTGTATAGTAACCTAAAAGGAATATTGTAGAAACGTTTAGAACATCAGTTATCGTTGGGGAAAAAATGATCTCAATGTTTCAAAACATCAAAAATTCATTTAAATAGAGTTAAAATAATGACTATTGTCATAACTTTGAATGCAACTGGAACTTGAGAAAAATTCAAACATTCATCTGATATATACCAGTCACATTGTTTGTCTTCAAAAGCATGTCTGAGGAACTGCACAACTCAGACAAATTCCTTACCGGAAGGCATTTTCACTTCTATATAAGTAACCATTTAGAACATCTGTAAATACACAGTAAGCTGTTTTTCCGCGTATATCACTTATTATTATTTAATAATTTGTCGGTGCTTTGAAGTTTCTTTAGCGGTTGGATTGGTTTTACGGTGTATGGTTGCTAGCCCTACGCCCAACTTTCCCTCTTTACCCGGGCTTAGAACCGGCTAGTAACTAGTGAACTAGTTAACCAGGCAAGGTTGTTCTTCCGCATAACCCTCAAAAACAACAGAATTGGTTTACAAACCAAAACGGACGTTTAGTCAGGAAAAGAATACTCTACTACAATGCTAAAGCATTAATGAAGGCTCCAGTTGAATATTTAGGTACACTTAGCAGACTTCTCAATACGGACTACAAAACTTTGGGAACTGAGGCTTAATTCCAACCTGCACAACATTCATAGAGACTTTCATCTGACAATTATTTTCAACTCAGTTTCAAGAAGCCTGTTCGATTTCACATCAATAACCTTTCGCAGACGACTATTTACCTGAGGCATCAGAAAGATATGCTGTTCTGCTGGAAGTTGACATAATTTCTAAAATCTTGAAGGTAAAATTATGAAGCAGCATATCTCAACGACAAATAAAATGGATGATCAACATCGCTTTTGAAATCTTATTCGAATAGTATTCTTCGCTTACATTTCCTGTTACAAATAAACTAATATTATGCAACGCTTAATAGATTGGTTGGCACGCAATCATAACATGTTATCTGAGCAATACTGCTTAAAGAAACAAATAGCGAGTAGCACGTGCAACTGTAAAGTGGCTCATGGATAAGTAAATGACAACTATGTGGAATTATGTGTAAAAGAAGATAAAAGATAAGGATTGTGAAGGTAAAGTGATTCAAGACAGTAATCATTCTTCTTCATTTCGACTTGGAACTGATCAACTTTCTGCTGCCTTTTCCACCCATCCCAAGAAAGATCAAGTTTTAGTCGATATAAAAGCTTCTGGAAAGTCAGCCATCGCATATTTTAGACGCATTGAAACCGATGTTAATAGAAAACACTAGCAGGTAAGTAGTAACATTTACTGCATAGAGACGCGCACCACCAAACCTCAGCATTACTTGGGTGAGGACTTGACTAAGGTTGAGTAGCACTGCAATGATAGAATAAATAAACTGTAACATGCTGTTCCTATTCGACCTATTAGCCTGAAACGACACCAAACATGCTGTCTGTATATGCATAAGAAATAAAATACAAACGAAAGACGAAACATATTTGTATATAAAGCAGGATTAGTAGCTAGATTCGTATTCTCAATCCAAATATAAGCTCACAAATTAAGCAACTTACGCGGAATAATTTATATGGTTCAATCTCAGAAACTAGGACACCAGCTTTGAATGACGTATATACAATTCGATCACTTCTCCAATCACCAATTACAGTAGTATTCAACACACTTGGTTGAACTGACGCGCAGTTTAAACACTGAACGGTTAAGATATAGCCTAAATTATTTCCGTTGTGCTCTATATATGGAAGCGTCTATAAAAGCATATTGTATGTAGGAATAAATAGATAAATGTATAGTTAAGTATGACGTCATATACATAAGGTATGTTATATGCATTATGTAGGTATAAACGTAAACACATGACTCATAAAACTAAATTCAATACATTCAACTTGGTTCAAATTCTCGCCTATTTATTTTATAACCATTACCATTGCCCTGTCGACTAAGCTGATCTTGAGGATTTTATTTTTGGCGGTATCTATAGCATAGGTGAATGCAGTTTGGGGTATCCAAGCCAACTGTCAACAAAACCTAGAAAGTAAATTTAATGCTTCTAGTCGATAGACAGAAAACACTCAACTCTCAACAAAGTATATCTTAGTGTTATGTAAAACACTATATGAGTGGAGTTGAAATTGAAACAACGGATTTAGATCAAAACTTAGGGGATAAAAATTATGTTGATCACTATCAACCGACCGAATCGTAAACCTTTCAGTGAAATATAACACAAACACTACCAGTCCGTTCTGATGGTTTGAGCTTAGGTTAGTTAATTTCAATTATTGTTATATCGTTATCAGTACATATATTTTGATCCCCTCTGTTCACTATGTGATCTCCAACGTTGTAGTAGTCAGTTATTTACAGCATTTCACGACATATAGGATCTATATCAGTTATGCTACTGGTTTACGAGCACGCAATATCTGTGCTAAAAAGCTAATACAGCAGAATAGCAACCAGATTTACTTCTAATATAGTAACCAATCAGAGAAGATTTGGAGATTCCGATATTATCAACATGTGAACATAGTATCATTTTAGTGAAATCATGATTGAAAGAGCTGTTGGGAATAACAGTTCATTTAAAAATATTATAGAGGCAATAAACGGAAAGTTGACGCATCAAAATCTCCATTGTCCGTCACATTTTGATACAGTTCATACAACTTAGGGCACAGAAGTTATATTCCAGACAGGTGGACAGGTTATTCACCTACTTCACAAAACTATAATCAGATAAATCAACCGTTTGTTGTTTTATACTTTGAATAAATACATTTCATCAGTTCAGCCCATTTAGGACATCCAGTGTAGATAATTTAGAAACATAACTGACCAGTAGTGGACGCCTAGATTGCCTGATCATACAAATAATCTGTGTAAAATTTATAAAATCAGTACTTACTGTCCATCGAATCACCAAATTATTTCCTATTGTTCCGAATACGTAGAGTTCCCTCGGATTGACAGATGGTACACGCCCAGGAATACCACATGTGCTCGTTGTTGGCTGACTAGGCAATGACACACCAACACGATTTCTTGTTCGAACACGAAATTGATATTGAATATTTGGTCTCAACACAACCTGCAAGCGATTACAAAATGCAGCATGATAACATAAATCTCCTTACGTTATAAGTAAAACACATTAACATTTATCTGTTTACATAACTCTGTAAAAGGATTAAAATTCTGTTCTGAAAGGATGGCTATTTATTGTATGTATAGATCTGTGACTCATTATTCCAAGTGAAGTTGGTTCAGATGTTGAACTTTAAACCAGTGGATCACTGTGCGGACCTGGTTCCACCTAGTGGGGTTGAAAGACTAAGTAGTAGTAAGAGACCTTACGGGAAAGGCATACTTCATGGTCTCATTAATGATTTGAATCCTTCTTCATATACTACTAAGCAGAACGAGTAGCCAGAAGCCCTCACACAGATTTGGTAGCCATATAGAAGTGATCTAGACAGCGTACAGTTGTCTCACTCGTCTGGAATTCAATTCATCAACCGAGTACCTAGAAAAACTTAACTCAAATGTAACAGATCAAAGTCCTGACTTTTATTTAGAAAAACTATCTGAAACTAACTAACCTTCACAGAAGTACTTTGAACTAAACCAGTGAGATTAAAGATTTCAGCCGGATACCAAGTTTCACGCTCGAACTGGGTGGAATATTCAACCATATACTCCATGATAGGAGCATAATTATCTGATCCAGGATACCAGGTAACAAGTGCCAATTCTTCAGTAATGAACTCAACACAGTTGACCTGTACGTTTATTGCTTGTTCTGGTCGGCCTGATAACAAATGTTGGAAAAAATCCAGTAACTATATAATTGGAAAATATCTACGAACAAATAAATATATGGCTCTTTGTCTGTATGTTATTTAAACACACCTTGAATTTAAAATGATTCTGTCAGTAAATAAGTAAGCAATTCATAATACGAATACTAAGAAAAGTATAACGCCACATGAACTACTAGATTTCAAAAGCTTTTTGCTCATTTCAGCAGGAAGTTGAGTTGCTCAAAAGGAAGCTCCTTGCAAGTCATAGTCGGTCATAACTACTGGTATCAACCTTATTTAGCTTCTGAGCAGTAAAAATAATTAGGCACCCTATCCAGCTGCTCTTTTAGGCTACAAACATTCTACTTACTCACAGATGAGTATAAAACTACCAGTCTGCACATATTAGCAGATATAATGTTATCATATGGGGTGATAATGAAAAGGAACTCTTGATGGAATTGCTTGAATAAACAAAATTTCTCACATTTAACGCATAAAATTTACTGCATCTCCCGTAAAATCGCACTTAGTTTCTCTTAGCTGCTCAATAAAAATTGGCATAAGTATAGAGATGCATTAAGCTTAAGTTATAAGTTGAAATCTGGTTTACAAAGAATCCTACCGTCAAATAATTAACATCAGTCATAAGGCATGAACATGTATCATGTAATTCAATAGCCTTACAGTACCCTAACGATGACTGTTGTGAAAGTCACTACTGAAATTCAAAGTAGCATTGTATTAACTTTCACCTAATCGGTAAATCATAAACGGACTTGATAAAACCAAATCTTTTTTCAAATAGTTTAACTTATCAGAAGTAGACGTGAAGAATAATAAAGGATAACTTTCATCGCACAGAATATAATCATTCTAGTTCAAAGGCATGAATATTTTTTTTTCCAAATGAACATTATCAGTTAAAACAAGAACTAACCTTGAACAAGTAATGGTGCAGTTGCTGTATCAAAGTCTAATCCATTACTAGCATTACAGCGATACTGTCCAGTATCACGTGGTTGAGCACCACTTAAAACTAGTGCATAATCAAACCAAACTTGTTGAATTCTTGGTGTTAAATTGGGATCAATATAATTATCATCTTTATACCAGGTGATTTTGAGATTAGACACTTCAGCTGGATCTGTTTCTGCTGTACAAACAAATTTTACAACATCATTCTCGTATACTCTAGTATTGATCGGAGCAAGAACAACTCTTGTTTTACGTCTTACTAATAATTTCCCTGAAGCTTTTTGACTACCAAATGGATTTGTTGCTGTACATTCATAGACACCAGAATCTGTAATAGCAACAGACTATAAAATAAACGGAGACAATGATAAATCTGTCAATAATAATGCCTTAAGAGTGGTAATTCTAATGAGTATAGAAAACAGAGAATTACTTCATGAAATATAAAACAGTAAGGGAAATAAAATCATTAAATTACATCCGTATGTAAATATGTATTAGAAACAAAAAAACAAAAGATGTTTTAATGGATTTCGAAATTAATCCGATAATACATAAACCATATGCATTATTGAAACATTTATTTCTGCATTGAAGACAATAACATCTACACTCTGAACCGTTGCACTGATTTTAGATTTAATTCGCAGTGGTGCAGATACCGGAGTATACTGCCTTGTAGATCAATTGTTAATATGATCATATTGTAGCGTTGTGCTTAAGCATGGTAAAAGAGGAAACTTAGGACTGAGTACCTTTTGCATAATTTCGAGAAAGTCAACAACCCAAACAATTAACTGTAACAAAATAGTTCAGGCTTAAAATCTTCATCCTCTTCGAAACCCCTACTCAGAGATGATGGGGAATATTTGTAGCTGATGAGCATGATTTTATTGTTGTGTTCTCTAAGCTGGATGGTTTAAGAGTGAAGCCTTCATTATCAGTCTAAACAACTCCGTCAGGGCAAACTTAGGGGGAATTAAGCCATGGGATTTTCTCAACAAGTTGTTAAGTAGCTTACCCCAATGACTTTGTTTTGATTGGTTGTTTCTGACAAAGTCCTGTCATTGTCTCTGTCCTGTCCTATCCTTGTCATGCTTTGATATTGGTTAATAGATTGGGTCAATGTCAGTATATATGTTGATTGCTGACTGAATTGAATGATAAGCTTCCGAAAATTCTCTGACATTTTTTATGTTTCCTCTATCCAGGATTTCCACTTTTTCCAGTCAAATTCATGTCCAAAGTTGTCCGTATCCTGGATAGAGGAAACATAAAAAGTGTCAGAGAATTCAACACAGATGAAACCAATAAAAGATGATGAAGGAGATCTAATTACCAAAGAAGAGAAACAAAAGAAACGATGGGCTGACCACTTCGAAAAGCTCTTGAATCGATCACCACCTGAACTTCGTCCAGAAATACTACCAGCAGCCCAGCCACAGGACTACCAGTGAACACGAGCCGTCTGACGAAATTCGAAGTCCTGAACACCACGAGGCTACTGAAATGCCGGAAAGCAGCAGGACCAGATGGAATCCCACCAGAAGCACTGAGAGCCAACGCAGGGACAAGAGCGGATATGCTCACACCATTATTGCAGAAGGTCTGGAAGGAAGGAAAGATACCTGCCCATAGACTGGAAGAAGGGCTACCTTGTCAAACCTCCAAGGAAGGGATACCTAAGTCTTCGCAAGAACTGGCGCGGAATCATGCTCCTGTCCACCCTAAGCAAAATATTAGATCGAAACATCCTGAAGAGAGTAAAGGATACCCTGGATTCAAAATTACAACCCGAGCAGGCTTGCTGGATGGCTGGCTGGCTGGATTCAGGAAGTATGAATCATGTGCGGATCAAATTGCATCGCTGCGCTACGAATCATCATAGAACAGAGCATAGAATGGCAGTCAACTCTCTACCTGAACTTCATCGATTTTGAAAAGGCCTTCGACAGCGTCAACCGAGAGGTATTTCGGCAGGCAGCTGCTTCGACACTAAGGAATACCACAAATCCTTATCAGCCTCATTCAATAGCTCTATGACGACGCCACATGCCAAGTAATTCACAATGGGAAGCTCAGTGATGCTTTTGAAGTGAAGACCGACAGGAGTTAGACAAGGCTGTCTACTATCACCCATGATATTCCTGATTGTGGTCGACTGGATCATGTGAAAAACAGTAAGGAGCGAGAAGAGAGGGATACGCTAGGCTGGGAAAAAGATTCGAAAACATTTGGATTTCACCGATGACTTGTGTCTAATGTCGCACAAACTCGAAGATCTGCAGGCGAAAACTAGCAAGTTGACAGAAGAGGCGGGGCAGTGATACGGGACTTCAAGTGAACGTAGAGAAGACGGAGGTGATGATGATACCCAACCAACGCCAACAACAACAAGCTCCAATCACCATCAACGGGAGGAATTCAAAAGAAGTAACCTCCTTCACCTATCTAGGAAGCACTGTCTCAACTACAGGTGGCGCAGATGAGGATCTCAAAGTCATAATCGGAAAAGCAAGACAGGAGTTTTTCACTCGGACACCAGTGTGGAGATCTTCTGCACTCAGCATAAAGAACAAGATCCGGATTTTTAACACCAATGTCAAGCCAATGCTTCCATGTGATGGTTGAGAGACTCGGAGAGTTAAGAATAGCACTTCCAACAAACTACAGGCATTCATCAACAACTGCTTACGCTCGTTACTGAAGCTCAGATGGCCGGAAAGAACAAGTTACAAGGAACTCTGGGAACGAACCAATCAAGAACCTAACGCTCAACAAATATGGGCTGGACATGCACTGAGAAGACAATTCGGGGACATCACGCACTAGCCCAGACCCTCGAGTGGGATCCAAAGGAGAAACGACTAGTTGGGCGTCCGAGGGTCACATGGACGAGATCATATGAGGAAGCAATGAGAGCTTCTTGGCCGCCGTGGAGTCAAATTCAAAAGGTTGCAGAGAAGAGAGGGCACTGGAGACGTGCTACTGAAGCTCTATGTTCCACTAGGAACCCAAGGGATAAATAATAATAATATTATGATAATTTAGTGTACATATAGGGAAGTTTAACTTGGGGAACATCCATTATCTCACACTCCTGCTACTCTAATATCCAGTTGAACGTCCATCTAGACTTGATACAGGTATGTGTTTCAGCATAGTTTCAGTATTCACTTCCTTTAACTCTACTTTTTCTCACAAAATTTAAGATGGGACGATATGTAGTATCCTAAACCAGATGGTGACCGTTCTAAGCAACACTCTAGAAGGATAATTATGATTTACATTAACTGTGAAAATCCCTTTAGTAAGAGGTAAATCTTAATATTCTCAGTGTGTTAAGCCGGTGAACGCTAGAAAGTGTGCAGTAAGGCATAGTTTCAGAAAGTGGCCCCCTATTGTCGGTTGAAACTTATTCAAATCACCCTCAAGTCTCCGATCAGAAAATAAACATTCCAGGTCCTAATCCTTATTTATACGCTGTCGGATGTTGACCAGTACTGTATAAAAGTAAAATAGAACATTGACTTTTAATACATGTTTGAAAAGTAAAACATTTCGCAAAAACTATCGAAATATATTGGATAGGCAAGATGAGTAGATGGTAACCATTATTGTTGTTCAGTAGTATATTTCGATTGCGTCATGACACTAGTGTAACAGAGATAGCACTTTGTGATCTTAGTTGGGTATTTTTCAACGGAAGCCTTTCTGACAACACACTCTGGCACTTCAAAAGCTGTTTCGTTGTAAGAAATCTCAACGTGAACAGTGCAATTTGTAGGTCAATTGAAAACTGTGAAAACTATGTTCACACAATAATTGGTTACTGAATAAAAACTATTATAAAGACAATTAAATTACGCTTACTTCGATAAGCAGATCACCTGATGGTAATATTTTGTACCGACCACCATTAATTGGTCGTCGATCTTTAGTCCATGATATAATAGCTTTCGGTGCTGAAAATGTTTGACAAAATAACGTCACCTTATTTCCATCGACTGCACGTAAAACTGCTTCCGGTGCTTTAATAAAATACGGTGCTTCGCGCATAACATTGACATAAGCATTAGTAAAAGCGTAACCAAATTTATTTGATGCATTACACTGGATAACTGCACTATCTTTGATTGTCAAGTTGCTCAACTGCATAGTCTGAAACGTAATTAAAAGACCAAAACGTAAGTATAATATTATTGCTATTATTATTATATTAGTAAGTCCTCAGTCTCTGGTGTCTGCTTCTTGATGTCAAATGAATTGTATTGATTTTGTCTGTAATGTACCCGGTAACTTAGACTACACAGAGTCTCACAGAACTGTGATCTATGTTCAACAGTTTGATGTGACTTTCAAAACCCTTGAATCTGGATATGCTTTAGGGTCAATTTCACTGGCACAGATGTTTCCGCACACCATCTTCAATCAAAACATTAGACTGAATTTCGGTATTATTTCGTTCTTCTTTGCTCTATTTTGATGAATTACTGCCAATTTTGATTGCTTTCTTGTTTATTTCGTTATGTTTCATCCCAGTGAATTCTCGCCTAATGTGCTGACAAGAAGTATGGCAACTTGAACCGTTACACAGTAACTTCAAGTCCTAAGTTGAACAAAATGGAAATCTTTGCGTAAATCTATCAGTTTGTTAAGCTTATGTTTTCAATTTCGGCTTTGCATTTCAGTTTCTTTCCATATCCACCAGCGCTTGAACCTATAGTCTAAGAGCTCTGCAATCAGCATACTAAACGTTTTGTTTTAAACGTTCTATCCAATCAAATTTTGCAACGAGCATCTTACAGAATAATGAAAAGCAAGATCTTTAATAACAGTTAGCTGTCTTTTGAAAAAATCGGCGCCCTGCTTGTACATTTGGATACCAAAATTTTTCACCGAACATATATTTCAAACTTTATTTTTCTAATTTGTTTCAATCTTTCAAACATGTCTTCTGAATGCATCATATACTATGACACATTTTTTAAATGTTTTCAACTCGACTTTTGTCGAGTTAATAACAAAACAGGAAAAATGTCACATTATATGGAAGTGGACATTTTAGTACGCAAAAGCACATCATATTTCTACCTCTCGGATACTTAGCTGGACCTGCGGTTTGTTGTACTGGCTGAATAAATTACCACCACCACCGAACTTACACTCTCATATCTGTTGATTCTTCATTCTAGACCCAGACGTTAATCTAAAACTTGTTGGATGTTTCATCTTATTGCCTTGAATAACATTATTTACATGTAATATCAATTCACCTGAAAATATTATTTTGAGAGTGATTTTGTTGGAAAATTACAAGCTAAGAATTCCATTGTTTATTATACATACTTTTTGGAATAAAGCGATTATTATTTTTAGTATTAAAGTAGTTGATAATGGACAAAGTTATGTGTATAATCATTAGTTTTGAACGTTTTTGCGCATATTTCCCTTCCGCTCTCCGTAGTGCCTTAGTGCTGCAGTATGTTGCGGCTCTTTAGAATACTGTTTGCAAACAACATATCTCATGAACTGTGGGGTGGTTGTTGTTATAGTTCCAAATTCGATCAGTGTGTACAGTTTTCCTGTACACTTCAGTTTACAGAGTTTTGTCATGCATTCTGCAGATAAAGACATAGAAAAACGGGATTTCGTTAGTAACTCACTCTTCTTTTGTCCATTGCATTCCTTCAAATGTTTAGTTGATTAATTTGAAAGTATTCAGTATTTCATTGTCTTTGAGAATAACGAAGGTATCGTAGGCATAATGAATCGAAATTTTCGGTTTATTGGGAGAGATTAGTATTGACCTTGGCCACTGCATCACCACCTCAATAAGTTATACTGATATTTGATATCTCATAAGTGTCCCTCTTGTTGCTTTGTAAATCGCATTAAACTGTAGGTAGGTCATAAGGCATGTATCGATCAGCCGTAATAAATTTGGAATAATGAGTTTCGCATAGTCAGAAAACGTTTGATCGTTCTTCCGAAGAGTTTGCATTGTCTTCTTGGTTTGGTTTAGCTTAATTGACGTGAAGATTGAAGTCACATCTAGGGATACTATCCTTTTGTCGCCATTTATCTTCAAATCCTATCTTTTCCTTAAAGCCAGTTGCTAAATCGACTGATTGTTCACTTAATGAAGGTCTCCCAGTTGATGAAACCACTGGTCGTGGTGAGATATCTATCTGATGTAGAACCTCGATAAGACTCGTCCATTTGTCTTCATCCACCATTGTTCTTCTTTTGTGGTTTGGTCAGCTTTCACTAAACCTTTGAGTTTTCATTGGATCTAGTTGTCTAGTTGTTTGATTCGGTATTAGTCTATTGGCTGGTAAATATTTTCGTCGTTGAGTAATTCTTGCGCCTTTCTGGCGCTGTCTTCCTTCACGATGACTATTTTCCTTCGGTTTTCCGATGGCATTATTACAAATGTCTTGAAATTTAATAGCTACTTTACTGCATTCTTGTTTTTTTGTGTTATGTAGATGTTAATTTCCTTTGATTTTTACTACAGTTATAATTGATTGCTGTACATCCTGTTTTTGCCTAACACTTTAGTCTGACGTTTTCGAGGTTAACCCTTATGAAACGCACAAGTTTAGTTTGTTGACATTTTCGGCGTTGCAGTTCAGTCTCTACTGAAGTAAATCATACTCCATCACAGATTAAAGACTTTATGCAAGATTCACTAGAAATCTATCGTGTAATTCCTTCTTTCTCCTTTGGGACAGTATTAGCAGATTATCATTCACATTCTTCTTTCTCTTCTCGCCTTTGATTTTGGTCATTATATTTTTTGGTTAGTCAAACAAGGATGTTTAGCGAAGAGTCACTATTTGCAGCGGTATTATTCTCAACATGCACAATCTTACTCATTCACATGGTAATAGAAAAGAAATGTTTCATGAAATATGTTTGAACGAAATTCAGTTTTGATTAAGTCAGGAGATCGGAGAAGGAACTACAATGATGTTTGAAATGGTAGTGAGAAGAAGACTTATGAAGACCGAAGCGATAATAATTTGCTAAGTCAAATGATATAGTTTAGTTAAAGAGACTGGTGAATGTGATAGGAAATCAGAATTTAAAGAGTGGAAGAATGTGGAATGTAAGAATACTCGATATCCTAGTGAGTAGAGGAAAGAAAATATTCTGGATGAGAAATGGTTTTATAGATCATATCCATTGCAACTCGAATTAATGAGAAAGCCTTTTTTGAATGTTCAGTTTAGGTTTTCAAATATTAGTTGCCTATTTACCTAGGCCCAAGTAGGTTCATTACGATTCGAGCTGTGAATTCATTGCTTAGATAGTAAATGCTTGGGTTAATTAACCACGACTCCGCTAAGTGAAGATAAACCCGTAAATATGACGGACAATCAAATTATTGTACAATGCAATAAAAGCTGAAAATATTAGTGAATAAAGACAAAAAACCAACCAATAAAATTACATAAAAGTTCATTACTTCAAGCTACCAAATTTAACAGCAGCACATGAACACGAAATGGATGAAAACAAATGACTTTTAAGTTGAGAAAAGTATAGTACCAACGAAAGGGATTATGTTGAGTGTTGTAAAGGATAACATGGAAATTTCCAAAGTCAAATAATTCTAGATTTGACCTTTAGATTTGTAAGTAAGTACTTGGATTTATCAGTGACTCAACCTAAGATTATATGACTTCCTTCATTTTAGCCATGATTAATCAACACTTGAAAATTACACTGAAATTTTTTTGAAACTTCAGTTAATCAATAACCCAATTCCAAGTACTGACCATCACTATGAGTGACGTCATGCTACAACTGTAAAACATGAGGAATTGCAGACATCTTGAAAAGTGATCAACTCAAAGTTTAATTAATCTTTTGGTCTTTATTATGTTTGGACACCAGAGTCTAATGTTGATTTTGTTGACTGTGGAAGTCATACGACACTAATATCTCCAACTTAGTCAATGAGATTAAGTCAACTTTGAGTACCATCACGAAGATACCAAACAATAACCGCCTATGATTGTGAAAGTATTGATAGCACAGTATCTGTTAACAATGTCACTATGTGACCAAAGAAGTTTCTACAGAAAACTGTCTAGGAAAAGCATCCACAAAAAGTGGTGTAGATGATTTAAAAAAGGCTACACAAAGAACTGTGAAGTGAATATCTCCAGGTTCCTGAATTGCCGGAGCTAGCAATTCGAGTTTGAGACTACTGGTTGCAAGATTAGGTTAGTTTTCATGAAAGAGATGAGGGTGGAACAATAACGGCACTGCTCATAAAAGAGCAATTTATTCTACTTAGCCCAAAGAACCAACTAAAAATGATACATATCCCTATTAAAAGATATTTCTGAATTTATCAAGACGTAGACCTTTTTCCCCCACTGAATATGAGAAATGAAAAGTAGATAAATATAGGTAGCATACTGTGAAGCTGGTTGCAGTCCTATAGCCAATTGTCACTACTCAATAGAGAAAGAATCTAGCAAAATTTCAAAAACTCTCCAAGCTTTCCAAGTGCCGTAGAAGGAAGAAGCTTAGAACTGTACGTATATTTTGAATGCGATATTGGCAAGGTCAAAATATTTTTCAGGAACTCTTTACCAAAAAGGATATTAACAGTCGCAATATGTAGGAGAAAATGAATAAAAACACTGCGTTTGATAAAAGTAAGCCATATGTCAACAGTGCAGAGAGGCCTTATTCAAACGTTTACACATAAGCTTCATATGACTCCAGTTTTGTCCGAAACGACCTTTCTCATCCTGCTGGAATTTAAAATATGAGAAGCCAAGAAACAGCTTGACATAACTAGAAGTTGAAGAGAAGGACTTTGAAATTATAGTTTTTTCATATGATGAAGACAGTGATGCTCAAATCTGTTTTATAGGTGATAAAACCATATAAATGAGCATAAGGCCTTGAACATGAATGATCACAGATTTGGCAATGATTTGTTATGGAAGAATAATGTAGTAAATTAAGGAAAACATAAAATCATCGATATCTCTGAAATATGACTCAATACTGATAACAGTAAATTTCAGCTACAGTGATGTACTCACAATAGAAGTGACAGGACAGTAAGTGAAGCTGACGGCTGAATTCCTTAGGTGAAGTACAGCTTGTCTCTAGGAGAGACATAACTGTGCATCAAAATAGAACTTCCAAAAGCGGTTTAGAAGGCAGGTTACAAGATACAGCAAAAAATACTATGCCATATTTTATTACAGCTTTTTGTTCAAGGTAGAGAACTTCTCCCCACATAAGTTGATCTCTACCCACAAAGGTTCCTGATGTGAGTGTACGGGAAAATTTATTTAATCATCATCTGACTGACACAGACCAATAACACAATCATGAAATCAGTGATTTGAAACCTTTACTTTCGTCCTCATTACCTCAAATCACAAAAAACATCCAAAAAGACTATCAGCATGCACCCCCCACTTTGAGATTTAATCTACTCTCATGGCGATGACATGTGCCTATTCCAACACCAATTCCTCCATACAAACAATAAAAGTGTGATCATCTTCAGATTCGTAGCTGCCATGTTTTGCAAGACTGACATCTCAGGTTGACTTAGTGATATAGAAAAGGTTATCAAACGATACTGTGGTGTTTTCTTCGTTCAAGAATCTCCACGAAAAACAGTCTTAACACTGAGTAGGAGCAACAACCGTGAACGAACTAGACAGGTAATGAACGATGTAATTACCATGGATATGTGATAATCAACAACACTAGGTAGCCTGTTCCAAGGGCTCCTCATACAGACAGTCCGTGGATCAAGGCATACCACCTTATCATAGGACTGATGATATAGTCATACGCACTCACAATGGAGGATTTCAACAACACTCAAAAAATTACAGAACGATAGACCTGACTAATACTGTAAGAAAATTTGTGGAAGGTAGAAACAAGGAGGCCACTGTGGCCTACCTAGAAACCCATAACCTATTGTCAATTTCGCAGCTTGGCTTTCAAATACCTTCACAATGCCCACAAAAGCCTCTAGCGACAAAAGTAATTTAATTGAAACCTAGAGAAGACAGTAAGAATTATATTTCAGACATCTTATATGACATAAAACTTATGCTTACTTGTGAAACAAGACACCTCAAAATCATTACCAATGCACTTGCATGAATCAGATAATTCATCGTTGGTAGAAGACATAGATAATATTTTCATCCCTAACTCCCATTAAAACAGCTTGAAACACATTAAAGTATCACACAGTACAGTTGTCGATCTTCTGCTGTGTTTCTTGTGCACCACTGAGTAAATCACCTAGCATCCCAACATCTACAATCATCCTCCGTGCTAACGATATTCATCATTGTGATAAATTACTCACAATGATCACGTATACAGACTTCAAACAAACATCAACACAGTACTCACATGATCAAAGGAAATCGGTGATTCTTGACAGTCAGAGTAGTTGTGTATACATACATGTGGAGTTGGCAGATGGCAACATTGTTCACACGGTTGGAGACCCTCTACATTCAACACTGACTTCTTTCGACTTGCAAGTCACAATAAGTCATGACTTGAAGACCATAACATACTTTTGGTCAATCGTAGACCAATGTTACATATGGATCTATGCAATACTTAGAGCTTTTACTGGGATCAGTAGCACTATTTTCATCACCACAGATGACCATGCAGTGTTGTCTCATAGATGACTGAAACCTTCGTGATACAGTTAAGTGAACAACTGCTCGTATGATCTTCTCAGTGACTGTCTTATCCTATGAAGAGTGACTTACGAAGTTGAATCTCTTCTCTTCATCGTATGATGGATGGATGAAATACTAAATTCTGTTGCACGAAACTAGCAAAAATGATTCCGAAACTCAAGTATCTTCAATATTCATCTGCACTCCATGGAAACACTTCAAAGAAGTGGCATCTACTTCACCACCAGTTTTAACATAAACACCCAGCCCTGTTTTCTTCTTGTCAGAAATCTTAAGCATCTGAACATGGAGTAAGAAGCTTCGTAGAAAGGTAAACTATAAAATATTTCAGACAATAAGTTCTACATGAATAAAGATCCTTTTATAATAAAGGCACTAACAACTCTTGTTGTTGTTACACTGTGTATAAAACACAAATGGTTTTCTGTACACTACTTACGTTTCCATGCATTACTTTACGTACACCATCTAAGTAACCTGATGGATCTTCACCATTTACGGTCCAACGTATTTTAGGAGGAGGATCTCCAGATGCTGTACACCGAAAAGTTACTGATCCATTCACAGGTACAGTAATATCCTCAGGTTTTTCTATAAATTGTGGACGAACTAAAATGAATTTCAAAATAATAGAGAACTTTATTAAGCAGAAGTAATCACAAATCAGTAGAATACCTTTTATCTTCGTTTTAATAAAAAATCAAAGTGTCAATTTAAAGAAACAAAACATTCATTTATAAGAAAGTTAATGTTTACATGGATAGTTTAATAAACTGATTGACAAGAATACAGACGACAACACTGTGAGATTTATTGACAATTTGGTTAAAGTTATTTCAAAGGTGTTTATTACTCTTTTTTTTAATTGACATTTAAATGTGTTTACAGTCTTACTCTTTTGTGCTTTATGATGATTAATTTTATTATGAAAACAATTGAACAGAACTAAATTAATTTGTTAATAAGTGAAGATTATTGATATGAACTACAATGTAAAACGTGATACATACTAAATCAAATCATTCAGCTACATTGCTAAATAACTTAAGAGAAGGTACTCATTCAAATCTTGAGATAAGACTCAGATTTACCTCTAAATCAGATTATCATTTCGTTATGTACACTCACTTCTGTAGGTTAGTAATTCTCTTCCCTAGCTAATGAAATTCAAATTCATGAGGTATTGAATTTCGCATTGATTTTATTAAACCTTATTATTAGCACTTTAAAAACTTGATTTCATTTAGAAATATCTCGAATTCCTCCTTCTTCTATTAACTAACTAATCCTTAAATGGTTGTTTTTCAAGAAGAAATAAAAGAAATGAACGTTTAAGAGATTTTAGATAATAATGTGCTACTATTCATGTTATTACAATTATTCGTATGCTAAAAACTAACATGCAGTTAAGATGGAAATGGTTTAAAATAATGATTATTACACAAATATAAAAAATAGGGAATCCCATTGGCTTTGACCTTCATTACTTTGCAGACAATCCACTGATATCAATGCTATTATATCGCTGAACTTTGGTATAAAGCTAATCTAACATAGTATATTGTATGATACTTATTAAAACAATCCTTAAATTCTCTACCTTCTAAGATGCATTTCAGCTATGACATTGCGGGGAGGAGTTGGTAAATCACTTGATATATAACACAGGACAGCATTGGTTGCTTATCTATCAAAATAAAAAATAGTATTTAAAAAAACTATGCATCAGCACTAAGTGAATTGTTCAGCTTTGCATTAGTTTTTGAGTTTACTCTGAAGATATCTAGTCTGATTACATCTTGCCTTCTCAACTGAGCCCACCTAACACTGAGATGAAGATAAATGCTCATCTATAGATGATCAGTTCAGTTGAAGAAGAAGAAATATGGGTACATCGTTATTGTTTATATTCAGTTACATAATCTTTGAAGCAGACAAAAGAAAACACCTTGTTAAGGGGACGCAGATAGTCATCAGAAGGGTAAGAAACTAGATTTTGTACTTGCTGGCATTTGTCTGCAAGATATATCGGTAACCAGGTGAAGATGTTTAAGGTATTATCAAAATTGATCAGTGTGTGATTGAAGAAACATAAAGTATAAGTTTAAATTCAACATTTTTCCACGTGTCCAAAGTAAATTTATTTTTCAGCTACAATTGGTGTTTCCCGTCTGTTCAATGGCATTTTAAAAATAAAACAGTTTCCTCTAGAAAGCTCTTTCTTTTTAACTTGGGACTCTTCAACACAGTCTATGAACTGGTGACAGTTTGAAAATGTGGGTCATTGAATTCCAGTCCATCGGTTGAATGGTAACGTGTTCACCGAGAGTCGTGAGAAAACTAGACTTGATCTCAAACAAGTTCACAGATACACAACGATGAGGATTCTCATGCTAGGGCAAAAGAACTGGTCATTACTTACAGGTTTTCAGTGATCCGTTATGTAGACTACTTTTAAAATCAAACGATTCCCCACAAACACTCGATCACTAACTTAAGGAATCACTTGAACTACGCCATTCATGTGCATCCATGTTAAAAATACCGTGTTAGAAGGCTGAACTAATTATCTGTATTGTTTTCATTATCCTAAGTGAATTGTAATTTTTGAAATCCTGAGTTGCGTTAACCCTGTTTTTGTCGATTAACACACATTAACCAATGTTAAACTAAATAATACGTTATGGAACTCAACGGAATCATTGTTTTCTAAAAACTCTGTTCATGTTTCTCATTTAAATTTCCTGAAGGGAACCAGATGAATGGATCGGTTTCTGGCACAAACCGATGTAATATGGAATTAAATGAGCACAATTATGATTCAGCAAAAGGTAATTTAAATCGTTTCCAGTTTTTTTCAACCTTCTATGCTTTCATATCTCATATTTAAGAAGCGTTTTCCCGTAGTTCACAAAAAATCCTCGTAAGGCCACTATCTTCAGAAGTAACTGTCACTCTCCGACGATAAGGGGAATACTGTGTGATGAAAACAGACGCTGAGCATATGAACTGATGAATAACTGATAAAAAACAGTATCCTAAACACCACATGATCGGATCAGCATACAACTGAACGTATTATGTTACTATGGTTAGCTTATTGCTGAAGCTCGAATAAGAAATATCAGCAGCTAAGTAGAAAATATGAAATCCAGAGTGAATTAAATCAGTTTCATCCTAATCGGTTTATAGCATATATTGCACACTGGTGAATCAGTATCACAAAATTCGAGATGATTCGAAAAGTAGATTGTTTAGGAGGGGAAGAAATTTTAAAAATAATAATGAGTTATGAAAGCCAATGAAAGAGGAAACTTATAGAATATAGCCAGTAGACTGGTTCAGGAAGGATGCTGATCAATGGTAATATCATGTAGGCCGGTAATTAATAAAAATGCCAACTTCAGGTGATCAAAATGTTCATGTATTAATGATGGATAGTTGCTGGCAACGGAATCCAGAACGTGCACTCCGACCTGCTTGGCACTCGTCATATGGATGTACTTGAACCCAAGTGAGTGTTATTACCACTGAGACTCGAACCTATCGCTTTAAACACCAAGCATTATCCACTAGACCATCGAGTCATGATGGCCTCTTCTCGTGTGACAAGCATAGTTTTAATGTTTTGCTTGCATTATTCCGTAACTGAATGGACATAATCGATCAGTCTCTACTAACATATGAACCACTGCGAGGAGCCTCAGCGTAAATGAACTGCTAAAAAGTACATTTCAATCTTGAAAATACTTCCAGCTGACTACTTTATAATCACACCTTGAATAGAACACTTTCAACGGCCTTCAAACTTAAAATGAAGGGGAGAAATTACCAGAAGCAAAAATTGATAGTTCTTTTTCACATGGTTGTGTTGATGGTCATCATTTTCTGCATAAAAGCAGTCAACAGCATACCTAGTTTTCCCAATCGGTAATAACACTGGTTGGTTCACAACCAACATAAATAGATAGTAAATATACTCAGTGAGACACTGCTCTACCCTTAAGAGACTGGGCTTTTTTAATGAATTGTTATAATTTCACTTCTATGTGAACCTAAGCAGAGGAATCTGCTAGCCACAACTAACCAATTTATCATTCAGGCAATATCGAGGTATCCGCAAAGGAGCCCATATGCCAATAGAGGTCTAACAATTTAATCCAACAAAACAACGGAGAATAACAAGTATGTCAATAAGTAGTAAAAACAATGATAGTGTTTGAAATTATATGGATTTTTGTGGTGGGTGTTTTGAAGGACGTAAGTAAGAATCAAGGGTTCTAAATGATGATAACACTTGTAAAAAATGTGGTTCGAATAGTGCTCAGTTCATTGAATGCATGTGACATTTGAAGGTGAAAATAAGTGTAGAGAAAAGAGCATCTTTAGATAAAGTCAGATAAAAATAACGATAATTTAAAACACAATAGCTTTATATGTGTTTACATATAATGAAAATTAGTTTTTATTCAAAAGCATTATTGAGTTCATAGAGAGAATGCTTTGTACCTGATAGGAATGAGTAAATGATACTGCCAAAACTACCTAAAAACGGCGAAGCAATGCATGACAAACATCTAAGAATTATTCTCTCGGTGAAAAGAGAAAGGTTGGAATATAATTTTAATCATATATGAAACAGGAAAAGAACTTATAATTCGGACATATATAGCCTTCCTGGATCAGCCAATTATCAAAAGTTGTACGGCATGAACTGGTTTCCAAAAATGATAGAGATAAGTTTCAAATGTGAGTTTCAGTCGGAACTATCACAGTAAAGGGGGGAAATTATAACTTTTGTACTGTAGTTAGGAACGAGTTCTAAACATTTCCTCCATTCGTAGTGAGTTACAAAATTGAAGATACACTGTATAGTTTTAGGTAACAGATAACCCGTAAACCTTCAAGAATATTTATTGAAGCAGTTAGGTATACCTGGAAAGGAACATCTTAAGGGACCGACAACAGTAGGCAACATTTACTTTCATTTATACATGCAGTTCCACTGCTAATTAATCTTTTCGCACTGCCATGTGTCTGAACGTCATTGTGTGGCTCCAATTTTTATTAGAAAAATGTGGCTACTCATCAGTAGTTTCACTAAAACACAAAAATATAGTATTCACCTCGAACTTGAACTGTAAATTGACTGTTCACAGTATTTTTAGTAACTTCATTTATACCCTGGCATCTGTATTCTCCAGCAGACTCAAGAGTTGCAGGATTGATTTCTAACATGGTACCCATATTTTTTATCTTCACATTGGGTAGCTAGAAATTATAAGGATAAAAATAAATATTCTAGGTAAAACAGGATGCAAAAAAGTTCGCAATGGCATTATATGAATCTGCCGTTATGTAATAATCTTCCAAATTTAGAAACATTGAATTGATACTAACTGTTAAGAAATAATGAGATACTCAGTAAAAATAAGCACATGAGGCTGAAATTCAAGCAAACAGAAGACGTTACTTTGAAGATGACATCATTGCATATTACATTACATGCCATAACTCATATCCTAAACTTTTTCACAACTTAACTCATGGGGAAGTGTGTAAATAGTGTTATTTCAAACAGTGAAGAAGAATGGAGAATTAAGTTATGAGTCAAATATATTTTTTTATTTAGTGTAGTGTGTTACAAGATGAATCCCCAATTTTGAACAAAGTTAACAAACTGCAGACTGATCCAGCGACACTAAAATTTGGTAAACTGTTTAAATTTAAGGAGGTGTAACTGGATAAATAAGTTCACAGAATATTCGGTCACAGTAAAGAGCATAAAAAAAAATAAGTCAGTTGCTGTAAATATACTTAGTCCTATAAGTACTTATTTACACTAAAGCAGTTTGTAATTCTAAGTACACGCAGCTTTATATATATATATATATATATATATATATATATATATATATATACATATATATATATATACATATATATATATATATACATACATATATATATATATATATATATATATATATATATGAAAAGTTTTGTCTCATCCAAATGGCTAGTAGTTGTCCTGACACTAACAGATGGTTATCTTTATTCTTGTATTAATTTTAAAAGCCATACTACTATCAGATAGTTAAAAAGGACCTAGTTCTTCACTCATCCTATTCAATACGGTACTCATTCCCTTTTCTCCAAAGGGTTAGTATTGCTTAAATCTTAAAGTGATTTGGAAAAATGAACAACTAATGAACTAATTGACGAATAAAGGCAGTAACATCATATGCATGGCCGTTGTTAGTGATATTAGTCGAATTTGCCATACAACCAACGGTGAGTCGTACATTGGGCATGTGGATAGCATCACTCCGAAAATCTTGGTGAATATTTGCAGCTTAGGGTGGGAATGTTCAGAACGAGTTGTGCCCTAAGCTTGAGTTTTAGTAAGCAAATGTTTCAAAGTCACGCTAGATATCGTCTTCAGTGCATCCTACCTTTCTTGTGTTAAAGACACAACAAATATGAAGTTTACTTGCGGAGATTTTGATCAACTTTCTCAAATTATTTTACGTTTAGTTATATTTTCTTAGTGAATAACCAGTCTAAATAATAAATTAAACACTGTCAACATCATTGTCACCAAAGCGTTAAAGCTAAATTAAAATAACAAAACTGCTTACCGTTATTTTTTCACTATCATCTTTGAACCACGTATACTGTGGTTCTGGATACCCACTGTAAATACACCTTAACTGGATAACATCACCAACTGCAGCATCTTCTGTTCTTGGTGACCTATAGTCAGTCTTCAATGAGTACGTTAACTAGGATAGTTTTCACAAGAGAAAAGCATCCACAAATGAATGGGTTAGTATCAACGGTATAAAAACTGTGTGATAAATTACAGTCATATATATATATATATATATATATATATATATATATATATATATATATATACTCTCAATATAGTTTTCAACTGAGCCTAATTTATGTGCAGCAGAATGGTGGAAAAGTCATGGCTGTAGCTCCAACTGGAAGGACAAGGGGACAGAACGTCAATGCAATATATGATGTAGGTTTCAGAAAGCAAAAAAATATTTATTAACCATCATGCAACCAAGGTTAAGAGGAATGACCAGTCAGATGAAGCACATATTAAACTCAGTCATTTTTCTTTGTTTAAACAAATGAAAAAAATTTGTGAAGAATTATAATCAGATTGTATGTGAAGTTTACAAGTTTGTCTAGTGTTAATACGTCACTATGAGCCGCATAGTAATCACTAATCATAAAGCTAATCAGGCACTGAAAGATTTAAACCCAAAATATATCTGTAATTAAGTTGACTAAAATTGGCAGATTAACCTCGCCTGGTTAACTAGTTCACTAGTTACTAGCCGGTCCTAAGCCCGGGTAAACAGGGAAGGTTGGGCATAGGGATAGCAACCCTACCCCGCAAAACAAATCCAACCGCTAAACAAACTTCAAAGCACAAACAAAATATAAAAAATGAAAACAAAATTATTCCCCGCTGGAATCGGAGAGGCGAAATGACGCCAGTTGGTGAAAGCCTTCAGGAAGCCAATTGCCTGGGCCGATGTGTCTTCTTTCCCTAGATGAAAGCGAAAGTAAACGTGGGGACATGGGATGTCTGCACCATGTTTGAACCCAGCAAGGCAGCCCAGATTGCAAACGAGATGAGAAGGTATCACATCGAAGTGCTTGGGATCTGCGAAAGCAGATGGAATGGGAGTGGACTCTCCAAAATGTCAACTGGAGAATCAAAAATCTACTCCGATATTGTCACCCAAACGACAACCACGAGCACACTGAGTTGTGGAGTGGCTATCATGATGTCCCCAACAGCATCGAAGGCTCTCATGCAGTGGGAACCAATCTCCTCCAGGATCATGACAGCAAGATTCAACTCAAAAGGAAGAAAGGTCACAATCATACAATGCTACACTGTGCACCTACAAATAATGCAGAGCAAGAGAAAAAGGAGGATTTCTACAGACAACTTCAATCAACACTGGACAAGACGTCAGTTGGCGATATCAAAATTCTAATGGGCGACATGAATGCCAAAGTGGGAGCGGACAACACAGGAAGAGAACTAACTATGGGTCGAGAAGCACTCGGTGAGGTGATGAATGAGAATGGAGAATTGTTTGCAGAATTCTGCGCATTCAACGATTTGGTGATTGGAGGCAGTGTGTTCAAACACAAGGATATCCACAAAGCGATATGGATTTCACCAAATGGACACTCTACACTAAAAATCACATCGACTTCATCTCAATGTGAAGAAAGTGGAGACGCAGTCTACTGAACACAAGGTCAAGAAGAGGAGCAGATGTAGGTTCAGACCACTATCTAGTGCAAGGAACCTTCCAAATCAAGTTAAAAGCCTTCAAGGAAGCTGGTGATAGACCTCAATTCAAGTACAACACCCGGAAACTGAAGGATGAAACTACAAAGAAAATCTTCAAGGCAACCATCAAGACAAAATGGGAGATATCGAGGAACATCCCTGAAGAAACCTGTGTGGAAGAACACTGGAAGTCTTTGAGGGAGATGTGGAAAGAAACCTGCACAGCCGTATTAGGAAGGAAGAAGAAAGAAGACAAGGAATGGATCTCGACGGATACCTGGAAGCTGATAGAGGAGAGCAGGATAGTGATGGTGAAACAGAAGATAAACCAGTGCAAGGATGCTCAACGACAAGAGGAACTGAGCACAATGTATAAAACACTGAACAAAGAAATAAAGAAGAGTGCACGGAAAGACAAAAGACACTTCTACGAAACACTAGCAAGCGAAGCAGAACAGGCTGCAGGTAAGAGACCTGACGACATTGTATCAAATAACCAGGTTACTATCTGGTAGGGAAGAGATCAACACAGATAAAACCAATAAAAGATGAAGAAGGAAATTTAATTACGAAAGAAGAGAATCAAAGGAAACAATGGGCCGACCACTTCAAGAAGCTCTTGACTCGACCACCACCACCACCACCTGCACTTCGTCCAGAAATACCACCTGCAGCCGCTGAATTACAAGTGAACATAAATCCTCCAACGAAAATGGAAGTCCTGAACGCCATAAAGCTACTGAAATGTGGGAAAGCAGCAGGACCAGACGGGATACCGCCAGAAGCACTGAGAACAGATGCAGAGACAACAGCAGACATGCTCACACCACTTTTGCAGAAGGTGTGGAAGGAAGAGAAGGTACCTGCCTGTTGATTGGAAGAAGGGTTACCTTGTCAAACTGCCGAAGAAGGGAGACCTCAGTGTTTGCAAGAACCGGCGCGGAATCACTCTCCTGTCCACCCAACGCAAGCAAAATATTAAGCCGCATCATCTTGGAGAGGCTTAAAAATGCACTGGATTCAAAACTGCGACCGGAACAGGCAGGCTTCAGGAAGCACAAATTCATGTGCAGACCAAATTGCAACGCTACACTACGCATCATCATAGAACAGAGCATAGAATGGCAATCAGCTTTCTACCTCAACTTCATCGACTTTGAGAAGGCCTTTGACAGCGTCGACTGAGAGGTAATTTGGAAACTGCTTCAATACTACGGAGTACCGCAAACCTTTATCCGCCTCATCCAACAACTATATGAAGATGCCACATGCCAAGTAATTCACAATGGGAAGCTCAGTGATGCCTTTCAATTGGAAGTCAGACAGGAGTGAAACAAGGTTGCCTACTATCCCCCATGATATTCCTGATTGTGGTCGACTGGACTGGATCATGTAGCAAACAGTGGGCAGCGAGAAGAGGGGGATACACTGGACTACGGAAAAGAACCTAGAAGGCTTGGATTTCGCCGATGACTTGTGCTTGATGTCACATAAACTTGAAGATCTACAGGCAAAAACTAACAAGTTGATAGAAGAGGGAGCGAAGACGGGACTTCAAGTGAATATAGAGAAGACAGAGGTGATGAAGATACCGCACCACCACCAACAACAACAAACTCCAGTCACCATCAACGGGAGAAACTTGAAGGAAGTAACCTCCTTCACTTATCTAGGAAGCACTGTTTCAACTACAGGCGGGACAGACGAGGATGTCAAAGTCAGAATCGGAAAAGCAAGACAGGCGTTCATTAGCCTGAAACCAGTGTGGAGATCTTCTGCACTCAGCATGCGGAGCAAGATACGGATTTTCAACACCAACGTCAAGTCAGTGCTTCTGTATGGTTCAGAGACTTGGCGCGTCACGAAAGGGATTTCCAACAAACTACAGACATTCATCAACAACTGCTTACGCTCGCTACTGAAGATCAGATGGCCAGAAAAAATAAGCAACAAGGAACTCTGGGAACGAACCAACCAAGAACCTATCACGCAACAAATATACAGGAAGAAGTGGAGATGGATTGGGCATGCACTGAGGAGGCCGACTGGGGACATCACGCGTCAGGCCCTCGAATGGAATCCGCATGGGAAGCGACGAGTTGGACGTTCGAGGGTGACATGGAGGAGGTCGTGCGAGGAAGAAATGAGAGCTTATGAGCTGTCGTGGAGCCAGGTTCAAAAGATCTCAGAGAACAGAGGTCACTGGAGACGTGCTACTGAAGCCCTATGTTCCACTAGGAACCCAAGGGACTAATAATAATAATTATAATAAAAAATTGGCAGATTTGGGTAAGACTAAAAAACGTCACTTATCGTGATAAATTTTCAATAAACTTAGACGCAGGTAGGTATTACAGGGGAACGATACGTAAAATCTTCATAATGGTAGGTATTTAGACTAGAATCGTTTTTTCTGTAGTGATGTTTTGAGAATGAACTAGTTGCAGTAGAACTAATCATATCTCAAAAGTTTGTTATGGAGTTTTTTAAAAAGGTACGATTTCAGCCTTAAGAAAACCAGTTATGTTCCCATGGCGGTCAGCAAATCGTTTATAACCAAAACATTTTTACTAATGTATTCCCTGATACTTTATGATTTCTTCTTCGCCTCAACTTCACATGTTTGTTCCTAGGAAGAAGAGAGGAAAGGTCTATATATGAACAGGAAAATTAACAGTCAAGACGGAAAATATGACAACTCCAGTTACCTGTTGTCCATAGACAGAAAGACGATACGATGGGCCACTTTTTTGAATACGCAATACCTCATTATTTGCTACACACGTGTACAATGTGTCATCATCTTCTGAAATCACTGTCGCAATATAAAGGTAACCTTAATATAATTTTTTTTAAAGAAAAAAAAATGTTAGTTCTTTTAGGATACTGAACTGTGCATGGATTATGGATTGATTCAGAATAACATAAATTTCATGTTATTTCTAAGATAGATGAATAAGACAAGCATCTTCGGTTGTCATAAGTTTAGTAATGGCTGCTGGTGACACCTACGAAGCTTGTCACGTTTGATTTAGGATACGTCAGTTAGGTAATCAATCATACAAGTCAGTCACCGATGACTAAATAACTTAGGTGAAACTGCTAACAGCCAATCATCATAGCTTAGGAGTCCTCACTCCTTTTCACCTCCAAACGTTGAGTGTATTATGAAATCTGTACAAATATGTTCCCTGTATACGTATCCCTCTTTCTCTTTCCGTAATTTGTTCTCTGGTTTTCTGTTTCCACATCGCTGACTGTTGTAGTGGTTAAAATTATTGCTGATGTTGTTCTGCATGACTTTTAACATACTCATTCGATATCTGAGTAGTTTCTAACACCATTATACTAACTATGCATTCCTATCCAACAGTGCTATACTTACAACTGGAGAAAAATAAATAAGAAGGCTTCTTTTAGCGAAACGGATGACTGCAAAGGGAAAAATTGGTCAGCTATTGGAAATCACGGCTAATGAACACTAACAATACTTGTTATCTGATAGTAAGTTTAGTCAATAAAATATCTAAACAATTTTTCCGTGCTGGGGTTAAAAATATCATAACTAATGGGTTTTTCTCCATTTCTCTTAGTATATAATGAATAATGAATACTTGCAACTGTCAAACATATGACCAGAAAACCATGAATGCAGTTCAGATAAGTACAGTTCCTATCGAACAATCTTCTTTTTGTAAAATTAGCTTTATTTGAGTTGTGATCCCTAGGACCAATACGTACTAATTATAAATACTATGCTATTGATGTTTATTTGTGGATTTCAGAAACGTTTAAGGTGAACCGCAATATGCAAGAACAAGATACTATGGATCTATTCAAATTACGCTAATACTTTAATGATAATGATGGATGGTGGCTAGCAGTTGGATCCAGGATGCACGTTTCGTCCCACATGAGACTCGTCAGCTAGATATACTTGCACCCCAGTGAGTTTTGTTCCCACTGAGACTCAAACCCATCACTTCAAACGTTGAAAGTTATCCACTAGGCCAGTGAGGCACAATAGCGACTTCTTGTGCAACGGGTGTAGTTGTTATTTGAGAGTTGTAACCCATAATATCCCGTCGTTGACTTAACCGAACTTCCTGGAATTTCGATTCTAAATTAGTTATACTCACTTCTCTTCGTTTGTTGTAAATACGTAATACATTTTATTTATATAAAATATTATCTGTTCATAAGAACGTAATCAAGTTAAGAGTTTTCTAAAGTGTAATTCTACTCTTTTCATGAACAATGTTTTGCTTCATAAAATAAACGTTATGATGAGCTTTCAGTTTTTATTTGGAATGAAATCTAAATATGTCTAGGGTAGTCTAGTCAATCAACCTCTTTCCATAATTAAATCGGCTAATTTTGTATGCAGACAAGAAACGTGATAAAGGTCGAACAAGCGTAGATCTTGCACATCCGGGTAAAATCATTAAATGGCTACTAAGAAGTTGAGAACTGAATAACAATTGAATTTCACAGCTAAGATGGTAGAATACCATGCTGATGACCTAGAGGCTGGTAGCTCAGATTCTGCTATAGCGCAGATCTTCTTCCAATTTTAAGTAACTTTTCATAATTAAATATATTCTACATAATTAAAAATAAATATAATTTACCATTAATGTCAGTAGCTCTTCGGTTAGTCTCTTTTAAGTAGTGAATTTGAGCGTTCTTTTCTGTTTGCCATGTAACTACTGGCTGTGGATAACCAACAGGAACTTGACACGGTAGTCTGACAGACTGACCTAGAGAAACGTACACCTTTTTCTCTTTCGTCAATTCAAAGTCACCGAGTTCTGATGAGGAAAAATCAAATAAATAAAATTGACAGAGTAAATACGTTCTTGTAGCAAATTGTGACATTGTAAATACTGACACCGTTGTATTCATCTTGGTGACTGACAGTGGAAGTTAGGACGCGCGTTTCGTCCTATTTGGGACTCAGCTGGATGTATCCACACTACCAGGAAAGGGGAATCACAAGTACTAATAAACAAATGACACCGCTAATTGTATTTGACAACGGTCGATTGTGGAATATATGACACATCTTTCATTCTATTTTGGACTCATTTAGTGGATGAGTCTGCATCTCGGTGTGTTGAATTCCCAATATGAACAATTATTTGGAATACTTTTATGTCTAATTATGGCAACTTCACTATGCTGAATTAATCCTTAAATATTTCATTCCAATGCCCTTCAGTTCAGTGATGTATAAACGACTATGTCTAGCATTCATTTGGCAGGTGAAAGGTATTCACTATATACAATGGTCTTATTTACTGAAATAATTAAGGCATGCTCTCTTAATATATCCCGCATACCATAATTCCAAAGTGAAGTATTATAAATTCCATGCAGCTGTTCTGTAACTATCTTACTCCAAATCAATGTTTGCTGGTGTACTTAACTATCCAAGTTACAAGTCAAGTAATTTGTTTGAGATATACACAAAGTTCTAATAAATACATCATATTCACTGAAAACACTACGTTGGATAAGTAGAGTACGATGTGTAATCAGATGGAGTAATCTTTTGGACAGCTAACGTCACCATGAAAGTCTTCAACACAAAATAATCTTACGATCTATGCTGAGAAGCGATTCCTCGGTTTCCAGAACATTTGAAGGGAACGGATAAAAAGATTAAGGTGTTCTAAATCTTCTCGTCCAACTCACTTAGTTATTGAAAAGTAAATAAAAACTATAAAGGATAACATCGAGTAATAAACAATCTCAACCTAACCTAGGTCACCAGTTCAATAGTGACCAGCCGGTCCTAAGCCCAGATAAAGAGGAAAGGTTGGGATTCAGCTAGCAACCCTACCCCGTAAAACCAACCCAATCGATAAATAAACTTCAAAGAACAAAGAAAATATAAAAAATAAAATTAAACATATTCCAAACTGGTACCGGGGAGACGAAATGAAGCCATTTAGTGAAAGCCTTCAGAAAACCAATTGGCCAATGTGTATTCTCTTCTCTTGATGAAAGCAAAAAAGTAAACATGGGGACATGGAATGTCCTCACCATGTATGAACTTAACAAGGCTTCCCAGATGATGAGAAGGTATAGCATAGAAGTGGCAGGCTGGGAATCTGAGACAGCAGATGGAATTGAAGTGGACTCTCCCTACCGTCAACTGGAGAGGAGTCAATAATCAACTCCGATATTGTCACCCAAGCTACAACCACAAGCACATTGAGTTTTCGAGTGGATATCATGATGTCTCCAACAGCATCAAATGGTCTCATGCAGTGATAGGCAATCTCCCCCAGCATCAGGAAAATGACAGCAAGATTCAACTCAAAAGGAAGGAAAGTCGCAATAATACAATGCTACGCTACGCACCTACAAATAATTTAGATCAAGATCACAAGGAGGACTTCTACAGACAACTGCAATCAGTACCGGACAAGACCCCACTCCAGTTGGCGACATTAAAATTCTAATGGGTGAGGTGACATGAATGCCAAACTGGGAGTGGACAACACAGGAAGGGAATTCATCAGTTGTCGCGAGGCACTCGGTGACACGATGAACGAGAATGAAGAATTGTTTGCAGAATTCTGTGGACTCAACGATTTGGTGATTGAAGGCATTGTGTTCAAGCACAAAGATATTCACTAAGCGACATAGATTTCACCGGATGAACTAGCTAAGAATCAGATCGACTTCATCCAAATCTCAACAAAGTGGAGACGAAGCTTACCGGACACAAGATCAGGAAGAGGAGCAGATGTAGATTCACACCACTCACTATCTAGTGCAAGGAACCCGCCTTCAAAATCAGGTTGAAAGCCTTCAAAGAAGCTGGTGATGATAGACCACAGTTCAAGTACAACATCCAACCAGAAACTGAACTGATGGACTAAATCACTAGGGATATCTTCACATCACCAAGTCATCAGGACAAAATGGGAGACATTGAAAGAGATGTGAAAAGAAACCTGCATAACAGCATTAGAAAGGAAAGAGAAAGAAGACAGGACAAGGAATGGATCTCGATGGACACATGGAAGCTGATAGAGCAGGGAGAGAAACATGGTGAAGCAGAGGATGAATCAGTACAGTCCAAAGATGAACGACGTAAAGAGGCGCTGAACACAACCCATAAAACACTACACTGGACAAAGAAGTGAAGAAGGGTGCGCGGAAAGACAAAAGACACTTCTAAGGCACACTGGCAAGTGAAGCAGAATGCGCTGCTGGAAAGACCCAACAACACTTTACCAAATAACTAGGTTACTATCTGGGAGGAAAGAGATCAAGGCAGATGAAACCAATGAGAGATAGTGAGGGAAACCTAATTACTAAAGAGAAAAATCAAAGGAAACGATGGGACGACCACTTCAGATAACTCTTGAATGGACCACCATCATCACCGTCGTCCCCTACTGTAACTCAACCGGAAATACCACCGGTAGCACAGCCAAAGAGATATCAGTCAGCAATCCTTGCAACAAAAGCCAAAATCCTGAGCTCCATGAAGCTGCTGAAATCCGAGAAAGCAGCAGGACAAGATAAACATTCCACCAGAAGCACTGAAAACAAACACAGAGACAACAGTGAACAAGCTCACACCACTGTTCCACCTGCCGAGTGGAACAATGGTTGCCTTGTCAAACTTTAAAAGAAGGGAGACCTAAGTCTTTGCAAGAAATGCAGTGGAATCATGCACCTGTCCACCCTCAGGGAAATATCAAGCCGCATCATCCTGAGGAAACTAAAAGATACGCTGAGTTTAAAATCACAGCCGGAACAGGCTGGCTAGCTGGCTGGCTGGCTGGCTGGCTGGCTGGCTGGCTGGCTGGCTGGCTGGCTGGCTGGCTGGCTGGCTGGCTGGCTGGCTGGCTGGCTGGCTGGCTGGCTGGCTGGCTGGCTGGCTGGCTGGCTGGCTGGCTGGCTGGCTGGCTGGCTGGCTGGCTGGATTCAGGAAGTGCGGATCAAATTGCAACGCTACGCTACGAATCATCATAGAACAGAGCATAGAATGGCAGTCAACCCTCTACCTGAACTTCATCAATTGTGAAAAGGCCTTCGACAGCGTCAACCGAGAAGTAATTTAGCAGGCAGCTGCTTCAAAACTACGGTTTTAGTGCCACAAACCTTTATCAACCTCATTCAAGAGCTACATGCCGTATGATGCTACATGCCAAATGATTCACAATGGAAAGCTCAGTGATGCCTTTGGAGTGAAGACAGGAGTAAGACAAGGCTGCCGTCTACTTTCACCAATCATCTTCCTGGTTGTGGTCGACTGGATCATGCAACGAACCGTGAGGAGCGAGAAGATGGGCATACACTGACTGGATCGATGAAAAGATCCTAGTAGATTTGGATTTCGCCACCGCCACCGCCGACGCCGCCGCCGCCGATGATGATGATGATGATGATGATGATGATTTATGTCTAATGTCTTGTCGCACAAGCTCGAAGATCTACAGGCAAAATCCAACAAGTTGACAGAAGAGGAGGGGCAGCGGAAACAGGGCTTCCTTCAAGTGAACGTAGAGAAGACACAGGTGATGAGGATACCCAACCAACAACAACAACAACAACAGGCACCAATCACCATCAATAAGAGAAACCTAAAGGAGGTAGTTCCATTCACCTACCTAGGCAGCATCGTTTCAACTACAGGCAGTGCAGATGAGGACGTCAAGGCCAGGATCGGAAAGGCAGAAGGACAGGCCTTCATCAATCTGAAACCAGTGTGGAGATCTACTGCGCTCAGCATAAAGTGTGAAACAGATCCGGATTTTCAACACTAATGCTAGTCAAGTCAGTGCTTCTATATAGTTGAGAGACTTGGCGCGTCACGAAAAGCATTTCCAACCAACTGCAGACATTCATCAACACCTGCCGCCTACGTTCGCTCGATACTGAAGACTAGTTGGCCAGAAAGAACAAGCAACAAGGAATACACTTTGGCAACGATCTGACCAAGAACCCACCACCTAACAAATATGCAGAAGGAAGCAGAGATGGATTAGGCGTACAATGAGTAAACCATTCGGAGATATCATATGCCAGGCCCTCGAGTGGGATCCAAAGGTGAAACGACGAGTTGAGCGTCCGAGGGTGACATTAAGGAGATCATATGACTAAGAAATGAAAGCTTCTGGGCTTTCGTGGAGCCAGGATCAAAAGACTGAAGAGAACAGAGTGAAATGGAGATGTGCTCATGAAGCCGTATATCCCACTAGGAACCCAAGGGACAAATAATAATACGTTTGAAATAAACAATCTCATACAAGAAGAAAATCATATGTGAAATACAAATTTTAAAGTCTGTGAATGTAAATCTCCTGTAGATAACTAAATATATTCAATTAAATAGTTTAAGGACATGTGTAGCAAATGATAAGTTGTTAATTTATTTGTACTCATAATTTCATGAATTGATCCATCTCTGTTGACACAGCCATCTGTGCCAGTTTCTTGATACTACCTGAATATTCGTTAGAATGTCATTTGGTTAATGGTGGTTAGCAGTGAAATCCACATTATGCGTTTCGTCTTACTTGGGACACGGCAGTCGGATGTATCTCCATCCAGCTAGACTAGAACCTTGTGCCCAGTACTGGAGTCTCAATGTAAACACTGCCGCTCACAGGGATACGCTTACATTCTACTTGCGAGCTCCAAAGTTAACAAAACCCAATACTAGCCACCACCAACCAAGTTATATGACAAATTGTTCACTTATGCAATTTTAACGAATTTTAGGTAAAGTTCCAAGACTTATTAATAAGTACTGCATAAAACAAACATATTACATATCTTCGATCACTAATAACTTTGACTCATTCATCAGAGGTCTAATAAAGGCTACAGATGACCTATATTATGGTTATCATCTGAATGTATATGCCTACATTCACCGGGATGTAGTAAGTTATCTCAGGTTAAAGTGCATGTCCGTAATTTTGCAATAAGTTTACCCAATATGAATTAATTTTCATACTGCTCAAGTGATCTTAATAATATTTCCGTAAACATATATTGAAGGTTCGCTTTAATTATTCCACAGCAAAAAGTGTGAAATCTCTTACTGAAGCGCCATAGGGTTTCTTGTATCGGAAATTACTGCTTTTTACTTTGCAGTAACCGTTCGCCTCTACAGGGGTGTTTAAAATTCTACTCTTTGCTGATTATGCCAAGCTTTAAAGATAAGTTATCTATTTGTTGCGAAATACTTCAGAACGACATTAAAGCTGACGGTAGTCAGGTTGTACTCAACGATAATAATGAATGAAATCTAATTCACAGAAGGATACCTGCCACAAATGCACATTTGACGACGTATCATCCAACACTAGTTGTGCGTATTTAAGAAAAACTAATGACTGTTGAACCCCTCTGTCTAGGTTTTCAGCCGCGTTTCCCGTTGCTTACTTTAAATGATTTCATGAAATGAGATTAATTCTTCTTTTTTGTGTTTAGTACCGAAACGATTATTGCTTTTATGGAAAATATTCTTTCTATTCTGCAGGCTGAGCCAATTATGCGTTTGGTGTGAATGTAAATGGCTTTCTCGTAGAGGTGTCCAAAGACATTAGCTTTAAGATAAGTGAGATGAAGTATAAAGAGAGAGTGATAACATGAAGAAAGGAATATAGTGGAAATAATAAAGTTGAAACGGGTAAACGAACATAGATTAAGTATGTCATTAAAGTGAAAAACGGATGTGACCATACCTTGTGAGGTCAGCAAAATTGCATGTAACATAGTTGTAAAATGCGAAAACCAGCTTGTTTGTTCAACTTACTCTTAAAGGATCATGTTAGAGAGAATGTGGATATTTCTCGCTATGATGCATTCCGTAAGGCAAATGTACTTATGGAGAAGGTAAATCTTATTCTTCTATTGTCGTGTGGGTACACTAATAATAGCAGGTTCCCGAGTAACAGTCGTTCATGCACTGAAATTTTTAATGTTTGTGTTATGTACTGAGTTATCAGTCTCGTAATTTTATAAGGACATCATCTTTCGACAGCAGCAAAAAGTAAATAGATCAACAAATGTTTTATTTTTTCCCTGCTCAGTAAAACGTGGATTTTGCCTTGAGAGAATAAATACATTATCTGATTTGCGTTTTCAATATCGAAAGAAGAACTTCGGTATTACTGACTCTAATAGGTCTCCTTAAGAAGGACAAAACATATCTACCTTGACAGTCTTTTGTTAATAGTTAGTGCCTATTTCTTATACATCAGAAGACTAAATACCCGAGTTATTCTTTAAGCTCCTTAGACAACGAAATAACTATGCGAAGTTGAAAGTATCGTTAGTAAAAACAATCTCAGGATCTCAATCTCAAGTGACCTTCGATTTCTATGCTCCCACAAAGCTAAACACATTATATGCTAACCTAATGACTGTGATTTGATAATAAATTTTTGAATAGTTACACTCCAAGTGTGTTCATCAAGACTTTAAAATTCTTTATTTGCCATTTAACGAGCTGTTGAAGAACAAGAATAGTTAAGAGGGCACTCATAGGTTAACTATAGGTCAGTTTATCGACTAAGACTTCTAATTTGCTCTTTACTTCATGCAGTCAGTGATGATATCCCATTATTACCAACTCAATCTAACATAAAGTCATGTAAACGACACCTTATCTTTAGGAGGTAGAAACCACCAGCCATTATAATGAAACTTCATGACGGGCGCCATGCACTGAAACGTTCATAGTATACATCAGCCTTTGATGCAAAATAGAGGACTTTTTCTTACATAATTTGATCTTCTCTAATAAACGTTTCCGAAGTCAGTGTCAGAAGAACTTATTTAATCATAAGTTAACTGATAAAGACCAGTGCCATAACTAGATATGGTCACAAGTCGGTAGAAACTTCCAATTTTATCCTAAATGTTACAAATTATGACAGCCATCCTACATGATTATCAGTATGCAGCTTCAACATCACACTTGGTCTTCTTTCATGGTGACGACAAGCTTCATGTAACACCTTTCATTTCCTTTTTTAAAACAACAGTGATTTGATCAAATTCGTGTTCACAGCTATCATCTTGTACAAGACGAATAAGTCGTTATGACTGAATGTGTGGAAGACGAACATAGCAGTAATCAACTCAGTGATATCTCTGAAGGAATGGATTGTGAATTAAAAGACACCAACTCAGGCTGCCTGTCATTCATCCAAATATTAATATATCTATCTGATTCAGTCGTTTATCTCACCGTATGCACGTAAGGGATGAAAACATAAACTGTCAATAAAGCACTGATTACTGAGATATAAGTAACTGTAGAGGAATAGCGTCAGTGATGGTGGTACTCTTGAGGCGAAGTGAAATGTAGCCCAGAATAATAGTACTACCGCTATCAGGTGGCTTAGAAGAAAGCCCAGTAGCAGAAAAACACTCTTCGACATACGCTTCAGCAGTGAAACATCCAATGAGACAAAACAACCAAGTTAGTTAAATGTAACATCGAAAGAGGCTGTGAGAGGGCATTGAGTCACAGTCTTCACTCACGAATCTGCACGCAGCATAATCTCAGCAATGAGTGGAAGCGAAAACCATCAACGAAGTATACAGGTACTGAATAATGTAATTACAAGGGATATGTGAAAATCAACAACAATAGGTGGGCTGCCCCAAGGGCTCTTCATACAGACAGTCCGTGGATCAAGGCATATCACCTTATCATAGGACTGATGATTTAGTCACACTCATTTGCAATGAAGGGTCTCAACAACATCCACCAAATTACAGGACGGCAAATCTGACTAGTACTGCAGGAAAATTTCTAAAAATCGTCGGAATCAAAGAGGCAATCATGGCTCACCTGGAAACCATGACTTACCGTCTAACTAGGTGCTTGGCTTTCAAATACCTTCACATGACAAAAGAGACTCAACTTAAATCTGGGTGTAACGAAAAGACTCGTATTTGAGACATCTTTCATGCTACCCTACCCATGGTTACTCCTAAAACAAGACACCTCAAAATCATTACCAATGCACTTGCATGAATCAGATAATTCATTGCTGGTAGAAGACACAGATAATATTTTCATCCCTAACTCCCATTAAAACAGCTTGAAACACATTAAAGTATCACACAGTACAGTTGTCGATCTTCTGCTGTGTTTCTTGTGCACCACTGAGTAAATCACCTAGCATCCCAACATCTACAATCATCCTCCGTGCTAACGATATTCATCATTGTGATAAATTACTCACAATGATCACGTATACAGACTTCAAACAAACATCAACACAGTACTCACATGATCAAAGGAAATCGGTGATTCTTGACAGTCAGAGTAGTTGTGTATACATACATGTGGAGTTGGCAGATGGCAACATTGTTCACACGGTTGGAGACCCTCTACATTCAACACTGACTTCTTTCGACTTGCAAGTCACAATAAGTCATGACTTGAAGACCATAACATACTTTTGGTCAATCGTAGACCAATGTTACATATGGATCTATGCAATACTTGGAGCTTTTACTGGAATGAGTAACACTATTTTCATCACCACAGATGACTATGCAGTGTTGCCTTTTAGGAATCGTTATGGTGCGAACTTGACAGACGCGAAAACCAATCACTAATTATTCGAACTTGTTATATACCCACGAATACGAGACCAAGGAAGAACACAATAGTGTAGTCGGATGGAATAGTATATTTGGATGGTTGTGCCAAAATACCAATGCGTTCCAACTAACTGGCTAGGGAGTCGAATACGAGCAGTGCAACGTAACACGACAGCGTGCCAAATGGCTAGGGTGCTAGACCGGGTGCCTTCAGCTTAGCGAGTCCAGTTAAACTATCAAGGTTAGCATCATCGTTGAATGTCGTCGAACTCTAGGCTATTGATTTTGGGGAAGTGTGTGACGCTACAGTCTTATAGATGACTGAAACCATCGTGATACAGTCAGGAGGATAGTCATCCGCATAATTTTTGCGATGACTGTCTTAACCTACGAGGAACAAATTAGGAAGTCAAACCATGTTTCTCCACCATATCGTGGATGGTAAAAATTCTGAAAGACGTTGTACAGAACCACTAAAAATGGTTCTGAATCATCGTGGCTTCATAATTCCTTCCCACTAATTCGTATATTGACAAGGGTTTAGCATCACACACTCCCCCAAAATCAATAGCCTAGGGTTCGACAACATTCAACAATGATGCTAACTTTGGTAGTTTAACTGGACTCGCTAAGCTGAAGGCACCCGGTTAAGCATCCTCGCCATTTGACACGCTGTCGTGATACGTTGCATTGCTTGTATTTGACTCTCTAACCAGTTAGTTAGAACGCATCGGTATCCTGGCACAACGATCCAAATATACTATTCCATCCGACTACACTATCATGCTCTTCCTTGGTCTCGTATTCGTGGGTATATAACAAGTCCGAATAATTAGTGATTGGTTTTCGTGTCTGTCAAGTTCACACTAGGACAATTCCTAAGAGGGATATTGCGACAGATAAAAATAGAAGTAAACTTATAAAAGCTTTTTAAAGTTATTCTCGTGTCATAAACTGACTGTACCAATAGAGGAGTTCCCAAGTATGACCTAATGATTTATGTATTCAGACTAAAAGTCCGAGCCATCATATACTTCAGTAAGACGTATGTGCGACAAGAAACTTCCCTCAACATCTGTGTAACTAACCTGCTCTTTTGACATTAACGATGACAGATAGAGCGGTTCCAAACTGGTTTTTCGCTATACATTGGTACATACCGTCATCGTCGGTACCTGGTCTGGCGATTACCAGCGTCCCGTGATCTGGCCACTTCGTGTACCTTCCAGTGTTGGCTGCCCAATTGAAATATTTCCCATTCTTATACCAAAAATACCTAACAGGCGTAAATTAAATTGCGAGACTTACTTCGGTGACGGAGATCCCCTAGCAACACATGGTAAACGAATTGCCTCGCCAGGTATAAAAACTTTATCTTTTGGGGGCATCTCGATGAATGATGGAGGGTAAGTGACTTTAGTAATAAATAATTTATAGGTAATTGGCAATACCTGATTCAACAGGAATCACCAAAAGGAATTCAAAAAGACATATCAAAAAGGTCAACTTCACATGACAAAAACTATAGAGAGTCATCTCTTTGTGAAGCCTTTCAACTTTGCTGTGAAATTCAAGTAAATTAACATCATATCATACATTTCTTTAGTCCACGACTACGTTTCTAAGCAATTATCACTTCCGCCTTACTATTTACACATTTGAATTACTGGCTTAGGATCACCTTCTACGTTACTGTGGTTAGTGGCATAAAACACATTGACTGATAAAAGACAGTACAATATCTTTTCGAAAATTTTACAAACCAACTGATTTCTTTGTAGTCGCTTTTAAAGCCTGTCAAATGGCTCCACGTCTTTAGTGGGCTACAATGTATTACGTTCCCCCACAAGCCAGCTGTTGCTCTGGCATACCAAACGAGAGGTCGACCACTGTTAAATTTGCAAAAGGGTTGTATGATTTGCCACATAGTTTTAGTGCGGATGAGTTCCTCAGATGTCCTATCACTCTCAAGTTGTTCGCACTGATTAAAAAACAAAGATTAGGGGAATGAAAAGATTTCCAGAAAAGTCGAAGAGGAAGAACTGAGGAGAAATAAGTTAAAAAGAAGTAGAATGAAAGGAAACGAAAAACTTAGGAAGATGTAGGGCAGAAGAAAGGGAGAACTGTGGCAAGGATAACCTTAACAGAGTCGGGGGGGAGTAAATTGAGCTGTTAAGACCATTAATTGGACGGTGGGAGCAGAAATAGTGATGTTTTATTGGCTTGTGGTAACTGGAGATGAGGCTCCTAACAGGAAAGTACAAGAATGAATCAAGTTCACGACGAGTGCAGCAGCATGAAAAATTTTGTATGGGCTCGACTGTGTTAGAATGACTGGGACTTAGTTCGTTGCTTTGACCTAGTACGTATCACAGGTGGATGAGCGCAAGCTATGAGCAGCTGAGTAGCCGTCTTCTCGAAGCTGTCGACAAACAGAGTAGTAGCAAACTCGGCAAGCAGTGCCTTCCAGTCTCTAGAAACTGGTGGTGTGTTACTTTAACCCAAGTAATTTACAAGTACTGTTGCTTATTACCTCAGGTTACTTGTGGCGCTTTGGTGCTGACATTTGAACCCACTGACCAATGGCACGAGTGATTTTGTCAAGTGTGAATCTTCATTGGATATTCACACCTTGCCATACACCATCAGCTTTCGAATCTTTTTCTTCCATTGTCATCCGAAGGACAGAAGCGTTCAGTCACCCAAAGTTCGAGCGATGCTGGTTTAAAATATGGGTTAGTTTGATCCTGGAGATATACCGAAGGTTGACAACATTGTGCCGAAGGCAATGGGGGTTGCAGGGTTGTCAATCAACAGTAGTCTATTCGTCAAAATGTACTCTAATTTGGATGGATTTTAGTTTCTGTCCGCCGCATTGATGTCTTCACGTTTTCCACAAGGCTGAATCCCCCACTCATGCTAAAGAAGTGGACCTAAATGCTACCGCCCCTACCGCTAAACGCGTGATCTGCGAAACTGACCTTCGGTAGTTTAAGGGATAAGCCACTTTTCTCCAGAATTTGGCTGTTGCACTAGACGTCAGCAAGTGGCCTCCGAAAAGTGGCCATCGCTAAGCACTTAGAGGACCTTTCAACGGGGTTAAATTCTTGAATGTGGATTCGGTAGGCTGTAAAAGGCAAGATAACGCAAAAAGCTTTCTAACATTTCTTCAACTACCCTGCCGCTGTGACGCAGCACAGTATCACCAACAGCCGACTTCTGCCCTGATACTTCGGGGGCGACCCATGTCTCAGTAACGCCAATGAGATGACCATAAGTGGTTTTACTAAATGAACAAACATTTTATCCCCATAACAGAGGTTTAACATGAGAGAGAGTAGTTTGCAGACATCGTTACAGAGATATGCTTCGGAAACTCTACAAATTTTTGTTGGTCATGAATGTTAAGGGGGGTTATGTCACTAAACTCTATCGAAAACGTCAAAATATCCTGCTAGTTATGAAGTGAACGAAATACCACCTTTCAGCAAATGCAGAGTGTTGAAGCTCGGATCATCTTCAGTCATACTTGTTTCACCATTGGTGGCAACAATGTCTTGCAAAATTCCAAATTTCCGTTGCAAACAGTCGTTATGCTTGACTCATCTCCGCAATGCTAGATGAAAGCCTATTTTACATAAATTCTTATGCTCATACCTCTCCAGACCAAAGGGACCCGCATCGACGATTTCGGTAATCTGCAGCTTCCACGCAATCACGTCATCTAAGTGAATATCCGTGTTCAGGCATTTCTCCCTACTCAAGTGTAACCGTTCACAGCAATATGGATTTACGCCATCAGAACTAGGTGTTATGGCGCAAAGGAAAGTACATTTGAAGAACTGCAAGCCAGTAGCAATGGGTTTCCCATATTGTTGAGTGCCGGGTGCTCGCAGTTCGCCTAGCTTTTTGGCCAGTTTTGTGCATCGAGCGGATGTTATATGTTTTCTGTAGTGACAACAACCCTTGGAATCTTTCTGTTTTCCAGTTGTTGACTTAATCCTAAGTGTGGCTTTCTGGCAGTGTGTTTCCTGATCGTTCTCTGTCTTTGTGTAAACGGAATTCGCTGAAGTTGTAGCCAGTGCCCATGCCTTCTGATTTCGTTTTGCCCTATCGCTTTGTAGGCCACCCGGATGCTTGAAAACTCCAGGTTGCAAACGATTTCTGCTGAAGCGAAAAGCTCCCATTGCAGCTGGTGTCATCAAGGCAGACGTGAAAATGGGTCTGATTATCCGGTGCCTGAAATCCCTGTCATTTTTGTCCACGCGCATCGGCTTTTCGTGGGCGACCCTGTAGGGTTTAGGTGTCTCTGAGAGTTTCTAGCGGCAGTGTTCGTGGTGAGATCCTGTGGATTCTGCGTCCACGGGAGCCCCTAGGATGATCGAATCCCTGCCCCTGTATTAGGCTTCTGGTTTCCCATGGATGGGCCGTTTGGGCTTCATATGCTTCGAATATGGATCTCCCAGAAAAATTCCTAGCCACTTTCTAGTATTAGGCGAAAAAGATGCTGTTAGGCTCGTCCTAAGAATCCTCGGAGCTGAAGGGTGATAATCTCAGTGGTATTGGTTTTCCTGCGTGGTCTGAATTTAAACTTAGAGGAAGCCTCTTTGTTACGGCCAGAGTTTTAGCTTAAAACAGATGTCCCACAGCATCTGGTTATTCATGCTGTGAAGGCTACTTTGAACCTCAGAACAGTCGGCTAAATTCATCAACATCGTTCAGCTGTCATGGGGGACAAGGTGATCCTCCGAGCCGTCACAAGCATTGGTCAGCCGACAGTATGTCTGCACTTCGCACCCGAAACGCAATATTCCTGGTTACTATTGACTGATAGGGAGCTGTCTTTTAAAATCTATCTTACACTCTTTCGATGCAGACATGTACATATATACAACCGGCAAATTTAGCATCGCCAAAAGTCAATCCAACATTGAGTGCATTTTGAAAGACTGCATGGATTAAATCTACGTGACTACATGGACTTTACTATCGACATAGTGCGGTTAGCAAGTCACATCCTTAATTTCCCGAAGAGACTAGCACTGTAGCGTCACACACTTCCCCAAAATCAATAGCCTAGAGTTCGACGACATTCAACGATGATGCTAACCTTGATAGTTTAACTGGACTCGCTAAGCTGAAGGCACCCGGTCTAGCACCCTAGCCATTTGGCACGCTGTCGTGTTACGTTGCACTGCTCGTATTCGACTCCCTAGCCAGTTAGTTGGAACGCATTGGTATTTTGGCACAACCATCCAAATATACTATTCCATCCGACTACACTATTGTGTTCTTCCTTGGTCTCGTATTCGTGGGTATATAACAAGTTCGAATAATTAGTGATTGGTTTTCGCGTCTGTCAATTTCGCACCGGGACAAATCCTGAAGCACTTAGTAATTAGTTTGATGTTTGAAACGAATGTTAGCCACGTGTCCAGATTATGAACGCAAATTATACTTGTTCAAAGCCTACGATTGCGAGACCACGGAAGTTTACCAACTGGCTCAGTAGATTGGGGTAGCAGATTTATTCAGGGGTGCCGAGAAACGGAGATTTCTCACACATCTTGTTATCATCGTAGTAAGCAATTCATAGAAACTAATAGCCTAGGACTCAGCGAGACTCAACGTTGATACTGACCTTCACTGTTCCAGTGGACCGGCTAGGCCGGAGGCATAATTATCAAACATTCCCACTGTTTGGCATGTTGCATCACTCCAGCGTGAATTTGGTGTTTTTGCATGCCATCAAATATGCTCTTCCAGGCTGTTTACTGTGCTGATCTCACACAGATGGGCATTTTACAAAGCGAAGAATCAGAAGCTGTTCTCTATATCTGTCAAGCTCATGTAGGATCAGTTCTTGAGCCTGACATAGCACAAAAATAAACACATTGTTGGCACGACCTGGAGCCATTACACCTTTATTCGAGACAATTGTTTGGCAAGATTAGGAATAAATCCGATTTCAGAAGGCTGCTTAGATGCAAAAACCGGGGGAGAGGCAGCACTTAGACACGTTCCTAGCCCCCATACCAGAAGATTCAGCTGGTCAACTGGAAGATGAACAGGGTTCAGAAGGTGAATTCCAAGTGAATAACTTAAACTGAACCCACACAGATGCACAAAGTTTACCCGATAAACCCGACGACCTGCGAGTAAAGGCACTTGTGCTCATCTGATAGGTGCCACTGAAACATGACTTCTCTTGACATGTCAAAACAGGAGCCAGCAGTTGCTAACACCATGATTTTTCGCAACTCCAGGAACGCTGGTAGGGCGGGTAGAGTGGTACTTTACGTCAGCTTTTCTCTCTTGGCTCTCCACGTTCACATCAAGGAATTGGAATGCCTTAAGGAATCCATATAATGCATATAATGCTGTCCAAGACAATGAAGTTTTTAGCAGGAGTCACTTACAGGAAGCCGTCTGCTGACGTACACTACGATCATCAGATGCCAGAGGCAACCACCTGCTCTCTCACACTGGGGGTCAGACATGCAATTTTTAGGTGAATTCCACTTACCGAAGGTTAA